ACCAGGCGCCGCTGTGTGACAGACGACCCTCTCCCGCCCCCCCGGGAGCCCAAGGCGGGGAGAGCGAGAGCGAGGGCCGGGCCGAGGCGACGGAAGGGAGGGAGGAAGGAAAGAAAGAAAGGCAGCCTTCAGAGACGACGCCGACGACGCCTCCACCGCCAGAGCCGGGAAGCCTTTGGGTCAGGCCGGAGGGCGGCCGCCTGCCTGCCTGCCTTCGTCGTCGTCCAGGACAGGAAGGAGGCGGCCATAGCCACCGCGATGGCCGGGGTCGGGGCTGGGGCCGGGCCGCCACCACCACCACCCTCGCCGGCGGCGTCGGCGTCCCCTCCTTCTCCGCCCTCCCCGCCCGCGTCCGGGCAGAAGGAGCTGGTGTACAATAAGCTGCTGCCTTACGGCGACCGGCTGGAGGCCGAGGCGGGCGACCTCCTGGCTCAGATCCAGTACCACCGCCGACGACGCCTCCACCGCCAGAGCCGGGAAGCCTTTGGGTCAGGCCGGAGGGCGGCCGCCTGCCTGCCTGCCTGCCTTCGTCGTCGTCCAGGACAGGAAGGAGGCGGCCATAGCCACCGCGATGGCCGGGGTCGGGGCTGGGGCCGGGCCGCCACCACCACCACCCTCGCCGGCGGCGTCGGCGTCCCCTCCTTCTCCGCCCTCCCCGCCCGCGTCCGGGCAGAAGGAGCTGGTGTACAATAAGCTGCTGCCTTACGGCGACCGGCTGGAGGCCGAGGCGAGCGACCTCCTGGCTCAGATCAAGTACCACCTCGGGCGGGCGGTTCAGCTGCAGGAACTCTGGCCCGGAGGCCTCTTCTGGACCAGGAAGCTCTCCACGTGAGTGGGGGTGTGGGTGGGTGGATATGGGGGTGTGTGTGAGTGTGTAAAAGGGGCTGGTGTTTTTTGGGGTGTGTGTGTGTCAGGCCCTTGGGATGAGACCCCCATCCCACTTTTAAAGACTCCCAAGGAGGGGTGGTCGTGAGACCCTCTTCTCCCCCCCTTCTCCCGCTTTCCCAGCTGTAGTTGTCAGTAGTAACCTAAGTTTTGTGTGGAAGGCCCTTCCTCCCAATCTTTTCCATGACAAACGTCCTGCCCTGTAGAGCCCCTTTCCCCTCTCATTGTCCCTTTTTGAGACTGGGGGGTTCATACCTGAGCGGTGCTTTCTCTCCCACCCCTTGTGACATTGTGGGGCTCTCTTCCTCCTTGGTTGAGAAAGTGGGGGTGCCGTCTTTCTTTGATGGAGGCAAAAAAAGGGGGGGAACCCTTCCCAGTTTAGAAATAATGAAAAACAGACGATCTTGAGTATGTTTTCTGGTGAGTAGTTTCCAGTGGGGATGTCAGTTTCTGTTGAGGTACAGGTGAGGGTTGCAGAGGGGAAAAGGGGCCAGCTGTTCCAGGAGAGATTTGTTTGTGTGGCAAGAAGAGACATTGTGTGCGTTTATCTGTTGAAACAGGAAAAAAAGTCTTCTTGGCTGTCAGTTAAAACAAAGAAAAGTAGCTTTAGAAGAGGTAGCTGTGTTGGTCTGTGCAAGCATATCGGGCTAAAACCAAATAAACAAATGACAGAAACATGTGGCACCTTAAAGACTATTATATTTAAAGTAAGCTTTCATGGACACACATCCACTTTGTCAGGCATATTGGAAAAAATGAAATAGTGGATGAAATTCTAAACAAAGAAAACTATCCTTGTGGATGAGGATAGTTGGATTTGGTATGGTATATTAAAGCTCCGATATATTAAAGATCAGATATACAGATATTCCATTCAGTGTCCATTACAATCAGTGGGAAACAGTTTGTGGGCAGATGTTTGGATTTTAACCTGTCTACTGTTTGAGCAGATAAGAACACCTTAAAACAATGAAACAGTTAAACCTTATATATATTTAAAAGACTTCATGGGAGCCTCCAGGTAAGTGTCTTTAGATGAAGGGAATCATTTGAACAAGCGGAGAGGAAGGGAGCTGCCTAGGTGGCTGAGCCTGGAAAATGCTGGTACTCTTCTGCCAGTGATGGCTAGAAAGTTGTTTTCATCTTCTCTCTGGTAGATCTGCTCAGCTGGGTTTGCTTTGATTATTCAAGACAGCTTGTGGTATAAATCAGCATTCACCTTGATTTGTTGTACACACAGAGAATGTCAGTATTTTTAACATGAGTTATGAATACAAAATCACATCAACTTCTTTCCCTACCCATAGTTCCTGGTAGAGAAGATAATTCTAGGTAACGAGATTCTGTGTACATCAGACTTAGCTAATAGAAGGCCCATGCATTTCAGGAAAAGCACTTTGTTCCCAATTTGGCACATGAGCTAAGATGGCACATGGAATCTAATTAGGGAAATGTCTAGTGCTGTCAAGATTCCTGACTTTCCTGGGCCAAGGAATAACTAGCTGGTGCTACTCCTTTTATATGCAGCAACTTAGTTCTGTGCCACATGTCTGTCATTGTTTGCTGCTGCCTATATTACTCCAGCTTCTCCAGGGCTTTGTCTGGCACTATTTATATAAGTGACACAATACACAGGGGATGGATTGTGCTTTTAAGTAGTTGTGAGTTCAGCTTTAGTTTGGAGGGAGGTCTTTGAACAAGAGTGTGTGCCTTTGAAGACCTTTTCTTGGAACCTCTTGTTGTGGGGTTGTGTTTGGGAAGTGTCATCTTTCAGGTCTGCTGAGTCTCACATCGTGACTTAGGGAAGAGAAATATTTTGTTAGCTTTAATGATGGAGGTCATTCCATGAACTTTCTAGTAATGCATCTGGTAAATCATACATAGCACATTACTCCTAAAAATAGTTAACGAGTCTTTGTTGCCAAGACTAGTGTACAGGTTTTGTTCCCTAACTTCAGAAACTGTGAATATGCCCATGACTTTCGAAACATGATTATGAAATGGCAGTGCTTCTGACTGCAAAACAGGTGCTGTATTTCACTTACATATGATAAAGCCTAACCAGGAGGAACATGTAGTGTTTAATCTTGTACTGCTCATTCCTGCCAAGAGTTTTCACTTGCTGCTGTCAGCAGATGTTTGAACAAACTATGTTCTGGTTTATGTTCATTCCTTACGTTTCAACTGTTTTCTTTACCCAGTTTTCTCTTTGTTATACTTTTGGCTACTTCCTTTTAGAAAGTTCAGGGCAGCTTAGAGAATGCTGTCAGTGTTCTCCCATCCAGGCACTTCACACCCACTTAGCTTTAACTTTATAATGACTTACATTATAACAGTTTTAATATTCTTTTAATAAAGTTATATATGCACAACAAGCCCCCTTCCAATATTTAACTATTCACCTCTGAGGTATTAGCAACTACTTGGTGAGGAGGGATAAGAATGAGGCCTATGAGCTGCTGGCATTTTTGTTACTGTGGATGGTACTAAAACTTTAAACTGTAATGCTAGGAGAAATGATAGACTACACTTGAATGGTTTTTGTGCTGTGTTAAGCTTGACAGCAGCATAAGTAAGAAAATCATTCTAGCCCTCCTGCTTTACTAGTGACAAAAAGTGTGCTGCTCATATATAGTAATATAGACAACTAATGACATGGTTAAAGTGAAAGAAAGGCAATGTGGTTGCATGTTCTCTAGTGATAACAAGTTGTCCTTTCCAGTTTCACATGACCTAGTTCTAATTATTTAATTGTACACATTATTGCTGAAGAAGACCAAGAGCTTTACAAAGCTCTCTGCTTCCTAGAAAAAGATTTCCTCATAAGGGCAAGTTGTATGTTTCTTCTAGCCCTATGTCTGCAATACAAATTATTAATTCACATTCTGTCTTTCTAATAAGCAGTGTGTACTGTTGGGGCATTCATCTTGCTTGCATTCCCGTGCATATTTTCTATGAGGTTTGGACTGCACAGTGGCATGAGAATAGGGCAAGTTGCCCTTTTATTGCAAGTGTACTGAAGAGTAACAGTACCTTGTCCCTTAGCAGTGTTTCCCAATCTTGAGTCCCCATATGATCTTGGACTGCAGTTCTCAGAAATCCTGGCTAGCACAGATAGTGAGTAGTGAAGGCTTCTGGGAGTTTTAGTCTAGGAACATCTGGGGACCCAAGGTTGGAAAACACTGCCTTAGAGGAACAAATTTCATAAGCTTTAGGGAGAAACAAAATGTGCTTGGGAATACAATACAGTGAGATTAGACCTATTTTCCCCCTTTAGTTTAGGTCACTAACAATCAAGCCTGCTTCTGCCTATATGCACCTCTTATCTACTGATAGACGGAGTGTGCCTCTGTTGCTGAGGTCCACAAAGTGGGAGATCCTGCTGTACTTATGCCTAGCTTGTGGGCTTCTCGTAGATTTGTGTCCAGACAGTGGTGAGCAGAATGCTGGACTAGATATTTCTTCACTTTCATCCAGCATAGTTCATGTGTTGTCTCCTGATTTCAGTTTAGTTTGAAGAGTTATATTATCTTTTTTGGAAGTCAAAATGATTTACAAAACATGTTTGAGGAATTTCTGATATAAGTAGATCCATAGAAATGCTTAACAAATTTCTGTTGTAACATCCTTCAGTGTGTCACCTCCCACACACTGTTCTTTCACTCTAATGATGTTTCCTTGTCTTTATTCATAGTCTAATCTTGCTGGTTTTTAGTGAATGTCATGCGATTTATAAAGGATCATTAAGATCATTGATAATTCCATCACTTTCATAGAAGATGAAGTAGAACTGAATCATATGATTGTCGAATACTTTTTTTTCAAATACCTAGAGACAGCTTTTTACAAGTTGTTCTTTTGTGATGGCATTCTAGTAGCAGTTTGGGAAGTTGGGTAGAGTAAGGTGGGACAACCATTGAAACCCATAACTGATATGGTTCTATTAGCTTCATACTTTGGGCCAAAATTGAGATAGATAGCTCCAAGCTCTGTTATTCCTAGTTATGGCAAAAGATGCACTGAGAGAACAGCAGTGTTTCATGCCTCCTTGTGTTCTAACTTTGCTTTTTGTTTGCATTTATCTGTGATGAATTTTGAAAAATTGTCATATTAAAAAGTGTGCCCAATAATTGTTCAAGCATAATTCAAAATGGGAAGCTTGGACGTCTTGGAGTAGAGTTTAATATTCTGTAAGTCCTTATGTTCTCATATATTACTTTGTTTACCAAGAAAGATTCTGAGGTAGAATTACACTGGTCAGCATGAAATGATTCGCATAGCTGCCTTACGAGACATTCTGAACTTGTGTGATAGTAGGGTGACACTGTTTAGTTTCCAGACTCCCTGTTTACAGTGAGACCTGTTTTCATTCTAATAGCAGTTATGTTGTAATCCTGTCAGAATATGTGACTTCAGAAGATTGCAGTATTAACCTTTTGAAATGAGTTGTGGTTGTACTTCAGCTGTCATGCAAGCCTTAGTTAGAAGTAATGAATAGTCAAACTGTGTCGCTGATATGTTTCCATGTTGTATTCATCTCAATTTCCTGTGTAAGGAAATAGCTAGGTAGGGAGGTATTTGTTTTATTTATTTTATATATTCATGTATTTACTTATTCATTGCTCAGTCTTTGCTGTCCAAGGTGTCATCATGCCATGAAGATAGAAATTATGATAGATATGCTGTCTAATATGTTAGTCTTTTGCTTTTGCAAAATAACTTCAGAGAGATTTTTGTTATTACAGAATTTTTTCTTATTATTATAAGCAATTTGTAACAACTTAAGGTGAGAGCGTGCTTTAAAATAAAAAGGAGAAAAATGTATATGTAAGGGAATCAGATCAAAGTTAAACATCACACTTGAGAAATGTTGAAATTGCGCTTGAAAACTACTCAAACTTGTTCCTCTAATTTAACCTTTGGTGTGAAATGAGCAAGTAATAACTCTGCCTTGAGGTAACAGTAATTCAGCAACATACCTGAACACTGACACTCCTCTTCTGTGCTCCAGCGGAAGAGCACACGGCTTATTCCCTGTAAAAGCCCTCAAGGGAAAGAGCAGCTGGAGGGCTGCTGCTGAATTGCATCTCTTGTGTAATAACATCATATCAACATGTTGGATACTGAGGAACCATCAGCTAAGTGAGAAATCTTATTACAAAGGTGTTGCTTTCAGCATTAAGTTGGCCCTTGAAAAGTTGGAGACAATGCTGAAACGCATTCCAAAACACCTGGCTTCTCCAGCAGTTTTGGAAAAAACAATTAATCCTCATAAACACCTGAAGGTTATTGCTGAGCTCAAAGGAATCAAAATGTGTAAAGCTTTCCTATAGAAAATTTTGTAGAGTAAATGGCATGGTAAGCCTGGCTGGATAGCTTAGTGGTTTAGGTATCTGGCTGCAGAGCCAGAGGTTGGAAGTTTGATTCCCCACCCTGATTCTTGCAAATGTAGCCAGCCTGTGTAACCTTGGGCAAGCTGCAGAATCCCAGGGTGCTCCCAAAAGAAAGAAATGGAACACAACTTTTGTGCATTTTCTGCTTGGAAGTCCCTGAAAAGGGTTGCCATAAATCAGAATTGACTTGACAGAGGGTTATGATGATGATAATGAAATGGCATGGTTACAGTTTAGTCTCTTTCACTTGCTGATGTTTAATCCTATAGACGCTTTCGTGAGTAAAATAATTGTTGATCATTACAAAGTTAATTCTATGTTAGAATCTTGTAAACTGTTCAGCACTGGTGGAACTATGACCAAGCCATATGCCTCTCTCTCAGTCCCTGAATGAAAACTGCTGATGTCTAAAATTGTGGCTGAAGAATGTTAGCTGTTTGGAAAATAGCAGTGTCAGCCTCTGTTGTCTCCAAATCACTGTTGTAATGTACAAACAGAAGAGATTTAGAGCCTTTGTTGCTTCAGAGTTTTTGAAAATTAAAAAAAGTAGGAGGTTCTGTTCTCTAAGGAGACATAATTTCTAGAAACTGATCTGAGGATAAACTAATATTATATTACAAGTTTCTTAAATAACCATTTTTGTTGTGATGTAATATTAGCAGGAATGTACAAAATGTATGAAAACAAAGCATAACATCTTGCTGATTAGAACTTAATGAACATGAGAACAGCCTACTGGATCAGAACAAAACATCATTAGGGATATAGAAATGGTGTGCTTAATACAAATGGTGTAATATGCAAACATTTGGCTTTCTAGTAATAGGATCTATAATTTCAATGTCTTTAAAGTTTGTAGTGTAAAGAAAGATGCTTTAATTTTATGAAGTATTGGATCTCACATGCAGGGCTGGTTATGCAACTAATATGAAGTATTGGATCTCTCACATGCAGGGCTGGTTATGCAACTAATCATGCAGCTTAATTGCTGGTCATGCAGAACTCACCCTATTTTGCTGAAGTCTTTTAAAAAAAAGAACAATAAAAATTCACAGAAGCAGCTTTTTAAGGTATTATACATAATTATGAAACAGAGCCATCCTGTTACAATTTTCTGTGGAACTGTCATAGTCTTCAGTCCTTTAAGCTTTGAAAATGTCTCAGTTTCAACAACTTTTAAACTGAGTTTCATAACAGCTTTCATAAGGGACCTCCAAGCTTCCCCAACCCCATTTTTAAAAAAAATTAGGACAAAAATACCCTTTAAGAGCTCTAAAACTTCAGAACCCATACATTTTTTGCAGTTAAAAAAATTGCTACTAGGAGACTTGAAAGAGAGTAGTAAGGAAGGGAGGGAGGGAGTGATTAATAACTTTTTAAAAAAACTTATTTTAAATAAATAAGGGGTAGTAGGATATAGAAGCAGATGTTGTCTTCCCAGGTCAAGAGGAGTATGTGTAGCCTTCAGACTGTAGAAGCTGCCAATTCATATCATGTAACAATCTATGCTGGAGAGACCATTTCAGTTCTCCATTTTGAATCAGTTGAGATGGTGGTATTTGTATACAAATATGAATACCCTTGCACAGGTGGTGTTAACGAGGGTCCAGCCCCATGAGGCTGGACGGTCCACTCACCGATCCGCCATGGATGCGGACAGCGCGATTCTACGAATGACTCTGCAGCGTGTGATCCGCTCGCCTCTCTGACCTTTCAGTGAGGCTTGTCCTCCTGCCTCCTGCTGGGACTGGCATGTGGATTGTGCACTGTGGAGCGATTCGTAGAATCGCGCCGTCTGCATCTGTGGTGGATTGGTGAGTGGACCGTCCAGCCCCATGGGGCTGGACCCTCATTAACGCCACTTGTGTAGGGATATTCATATATGAATACCCCCATCTCTAATCAGTAGCATTACTGCTTAACTCTTGGTTGCTATCATTTCACTTTCACATTTGTATACCATACTGTTTTGCTAAAAATGTCATTGTTCTCTATGATGCCACACATTACCACCTAATGTCGTTTTAGATGCAGTTGTTCTGTCATCTGTGTGACAGCGTGATGCTGCTGCCCTGATAAAGCTGTTATAATTTAGCTGACTATATCTGATGAATGTGTGGTAGTGGGAAACACATAATTACCTTTCAATGCATTTCTCTATTGGCTGGTTTTCTTTTGTTGTAGAAATTACTCTGAAGCATGTTTTGTGAAATTTACATTATTTCTTCGGTGCTGTATACTTTTAAATATTTCCCCTTGGGATTACTGCTGTACATGCATACCAGAGAGAGGCTACTTGATAAGAAGGCTGATAGAATGCTATGGCATTTCCTTTAATGCTTTCTCTTCTACTTTGTGAACCATGGTAGCAGATTTATCACTAAATATTAGCTTGCAATCAGTAGAGTACCCTACAATCTGATCACGTGGGCAGGCATTTTTCTAGGGTGAAAAAGCAGCTTGAGTCTGTGTGCCCAACTACTATTACTTTTCTTCTGCTTTACAGATGATATTAAAGTTAACAGGAGAACCCAAATGTATCATATTTTTCTAACATGGAAACTTTCTTTATTAGTGACTTTCGTTTCAGCTGAGGGTTGATCCTAGAATCCTACTTTCAAATAATTATTTTATCATTTGGTTTCTTTACTTTCTGCTGAAAAAAAAAAGAGGATGAGGGGGAATGCTCAAACATCAGTAGGTTGAAATTTCTTTAGTGAGTAATATCAGATCAGGGCCTATGGTTATCTTTTGTTAAGGCACAAGTTCTCTCTCAGCCTTATCAGAAATGGTAGTTTGCAACTTGAAATGTGTATGTCTTTTAAGGTAGATGTTAGACAGTTTGAGATATATTTTTTTACATTGTAAAAGTATTTAACATTTCACACTACCCATTTTTACACCGTAAAAATATTTAACATTTCACACTACTGTAGCAGCCCTCCTCCTTCGGCAGAACATGCTCATTAAGGCTGAACATAAGGGTTTTCTGTCAGCTTGTGGAGCACTATATTAATAATCACCTAAGGCTTTTCTCTGTCCTTTCCTGCGTTAGTCTGGTAGATGGAAATGGAGAAAGAGTCTTTGCTACGGTGATACCCAAGGAGACTCATCTGCTACAACATCTGATGTATTTCCAGCATGTTTTTTGAAATTTTTTTGTTTCCCACACCTTTTGAGTTGGGTTGAATATGATGCTTTTTGTTGTTTCCTGCTGCTTTGGCTTTCTGCTCTCTCGCTGTCTCTGCATGTGTATGTTTACCTTAAAATAATAATAAAAATGTGCCATCAAGTCAATTCTCACTTTTCTGGGTTTCCCAGGGAGAGAATACTCAGAAGTGGTTTATCATTCCCTTTTTCTGGAGGGTGCCCTAGGGCTGTGCAGCTTGCCCAAGGCCACACAGGATGGCTCTTGAAGGATGTTCATGTTTTTGTGTTCCTTTGCATTGCACTAAAGAACTGGCTGCTGAACAAGAGTTATCAAAAATGTATTTTAAATGTGCCTTTGTTTCCCCCCCCTATAGATATCTTCGACTCTATGGGAGGAAATTTAGTAAAGAAGATCACGTCCTTTTTGTTAAGCTCCTGTATGAGCTTGTTACTATTCCAAAGCTGGAGATCAGCATGATGCAAGGTTTTGCACGACTTTTGATAAACCTATTGAAGTAAGTTGCTCTGTATGTTGCTATGATGTAATAAATGTTATTTATATTCTGTGAAAAAATAACTTGAGGAAAAATCATTTTAGTACTGGAGGTACAAAGTTGGCTAGTTCTGCACATTCATTGATCTTGGTTGAGGTCTGACATCATGCTGGGCTTTGCTCAGGAGCAGCAACAGTTTAGCAGGCCTGCAGGAATTAACATCCCATCCCTTTCTCCCAAGCTTGTTCAAGGGCTAGAGCTTCTTCCAATAGCTGCAGTTTTGCTGCTTCAAAATCCATCTAGAGCCGAGGCTGGCCCCTGCCAGAGTTTGCAAAAGATTTTTTTTTGGTAGGGGACACAACTTGCAGAATCCCCCAGGCAGCACAGTCACCACAGACTGACTTGCCAGATTAAACATGAGTACATTGGAAAATACATTTGTGAGGCCTGTAAAATAAAGAAGTTTGAGAACTACATTTAAGAGAGCAGAATTAGGGTACTTACCAGCAAATCTGCAAGGGCCAGTTCTAGTGTAACATTAGGCCTTCAGAGTGGTGATCACAAGCAGGATGGATAAAAATGATTTTTTAAAATCCAATTGGATTAAATCACAGTTTAAATTTAAAAAAAAATGAATGTTTTTACTTAAATCATTAAAACCCCCAGTTTTTAAAATTTTAAATAAAACCCGTTGGATTAAATCACAGTTTAAATTTTTAAAAATCAATGTTTTTACTTAAATCATTAAAAACCCCAGTTTTTAAAATTTTAAATAAAACCCATCTTGATCAGGGTTTAATTGTACTGTTTAGGAAGATCATGAAGATCCTATCTTCAAAATCCCTGCATTACAATCAGGCATTTTAAACTGCCTTGATGTTTATTGATTAATTACTATGTTGTTTAATTGGTTTTAGTGTGGATTTTAATTGTCATATTGTTTGATCAGTTTCTTTATTGCGTCAGGCATGAGAACTCCATATACTGCTTTTTTCAGTAGAAAAATGTGATGTGAATGAAATTATACCAAATTATAAATGATAGGAGTGGGCTGTAGTATTGTTCCTCTCCCACCCTTTTAGCACATGGATTTGCCTTCCCTTCCCTTGTTAGATGTGGTTAAACATTCTGTCAGCATGGATATAGTGATGATGGTGGACATAATCATAATTGCATTCCCATTTAACTAGAATTTGCAAACTTTGTTCAAATTTATTTTCCAAACTTAATTAAGAAGGGATCTTGCATAGACCTGTGGTTATCATTATGATGTAGCCTTACATCGGCATCTAACCACCGTTTGGAAAAGTTGCTTTAATCTGGTGTGCAAAATCCTGAGAGATGTTTCCTGTAAAGTCAATGACTGTTACTAATCTGCACAAAAGAACAGGCAGAAACAGAATCGGATCTTCTGCCATGCTGTTTATGGGTTTGAATGATATGATAGAGTATGAGCAGTAAATAATATTATTATTTTTTTAATTCAGGAAAAAAGAACTTCTTTCAAGGAATGACTTAGAATTACCGTGGAGGCCACTTTATGAAATGCTGGAGCGGATATTGTATTCTAAAACAGAACACCTTGGATTAAACTGGTTTCCAAAGTAAGACTTTTTTTGGTTAGGATTTTAATGTTAAATGAAATATGTTAACCTTTCTAATCTGTGAGATACTAATAGAAATGTTGCTTTGATTTCCAGAGTAAAGTGAGATAAAATTTAAGTTAAAATTAATTTGTAAGATCAATCTGCACAGTGATATTTTACAGGAACTTAACTGCTTTATGCTTGAAAATTTACATTCTTTAATAAAAAAAGTTACTTTGTCTTCAGATTGCTAATATTTACTAACTCTGTCTTGCTTATCAAATACCGTAACTTGTTTTCTTTAGTCATTTGAATTGAAGAGAACAAGATTTAGATCTTATAGGCCCCTTCCAGCTTCCTTATTCTATGATTCTATGTTTCTATTTTCTTTTTCATTATCAGTGAGTATTCTTCTATCCTACTGTCTATGCCTACCTCTGTTTCACAAATAAGATAACTTTTTATTAGAGTAATAATCTAACTAGTGTTAAATTATCTGATACTTCTAAGCTGCAGGTAAAACATTTGCAAGTGGGAAAAGAAAAAAGGTGTTTGCTGGCATTCAGGTTGTCTTCAAATGGGATAAAAATGGGGAGGAGATAGGGCTGCTCATATAAAATCAATCTCAAACATTACCATCCCTTAGTTCCTGTTTTTTTTTTACATTGACTGACGAGATCTGAATGGATGGACGTGTCAAACCTGAATACACTTAAACATGAAGAGACGTTGCTTCATGTAGTGCTTTTCCTGTGTCGTGACATTTCAGTCCATTCTGCTTACAGAGGAAAATGTCAACAGTTGCAAGGCCTCAGGTCCTAGAAAGCTGCCAACAATTGGAACAGAAAGTTTTGAGCTGGGTTAGGAATAAGGAACCTCCAGCCCATGGGCCTGTTACAATCTGTGGGGGACTATATCTGGAGTGCTGATATTTCTTTAGGATGCAACCTTCTTCCCCCCAAAAATAGATATTATCTCTGATCAGTGATAGCAGATTACCCAGTGTCTCCTCACCTCTTCTAAAGAAGACTGTAAAAATCCCTGGAAAGCATGAGGGCATTTGAGGATAACTGGTGTCATTCAACCCTTCTCCCGCAGTCCAGCAAATCATCCCTAACCCCTTTCCAACTTCTCACAGAGTTTTAAAATGGCTTCTTAAAATTCACTGCAGGCAGGACCTTAGAAAAGCTTGTTAAAGAGAGCTGTATGGTAGGGAGAACTTATGAATGTCTAGGCTCTGGACTTCTGTATTATTGAGAGGGACATGCTAGCAGTGGAGTGGCCCTGTTCACGTTTGGGCATCATCCACACCTGGCAAGTGGCCCTCAACATGTTCCTCTGGAGGCAATTTGGTCCTTGGGCTAGAAAATATCCCCCACTATTAACCTGGCATTATTGTTGAGAGTAAGTTGTATCTAGCCATGTAAGGAAAATTCCTTTTTTTCAGCTTTAAATCATACTGATGGAGCCATAGCCCATTGGTAGAGGATGGAATTTAGTCTCAGAACCTCCATCGTTCACTATGTAGTATCTCTAGTTAAGTAGTCATGGAGCTAATGCAAGGCAAGTAAATTTACCCACCTTGCTATCTGTGTTCTTTTAAGGAGAGTAGTTGAATCTTGGACATCTTATAGATAAATGCATCTCCTTCTGAATTATGCCAATTCCCTCTAAGTCTTGTATGTTTCAGTCCATACAGCAGGTTGAGATACACTCAGATCTTTTATGCATGCAGAGGGTCTTCTAGACTCTCAAGAGCAGATTTGCATGCAGTATTTTTCAGATCTTTTATGCATGCAGAGGGTCTCTCAAGAGCAGATTTGCATGCAGTATTTCACACTGTTACAAGGTATTCTTTTCTATGTGTGTATGTGTCTGCAGGGCAGCAGATCTGGTTTTTATCAAGCCTGAGTCATATACCATATTGGGTATATGAGGCTGAGTCAGGTTCTGTGAGTTGTAACCAAATATTGCTTCAGGACAGGCCATTTTCAAAATGCTGTAGGTAAAAGTGTTGCTCAAGTTTAGAGGTTGGAGTCAGTCCTGAGAGGGAGAAAGTCTCAAAGCAAAGCGTTACTTTTTAAAGGCTGTCTAAACTAGATCTTAAAATAGTGCAGTGCGACCTTTTCTGTCATGGTGTTATGGCAACATTGTTTACATTATCTATTTCGCTGTGGTCCCCTTTGGGGGATGAACAAGGATAAATTTAAAGACAATAAATACAAATGAGATCATTTGACTGTTTGTTTCTTTTGATTAATTTCTACAGTTTCCTTTTATCTGTGTTTTGTCTTAAAATATTTCTTCTTTACATTCAGTTCTTGTCGACCAGGCTTGTCTTCACCTAAAACATTTGTGCTTAATGTTTTACATAGGTGGTAAGGATGAATTTATTGTTTTTGTCTAGCTCTGGCCAATGTGTTATCTTCTTGCATGGTCTGTTAAGCTATAACACTTGTCACATATACGTAACTTTTCTGCATATAAGACTGAACAAGAACCAAACCAACCAATGTTAACATTACACCACTGTTTATGGGAATGTCGCACTGTATTTAAAACTCCTTGTGGGAAAACATGTGTGAAGTGGCTGAAAAATACAGTTATGTGCTAGTGTCTGTTAACCCATAAATGTATTATATGAAAGCAATGCTTTAGTTATTAGATATAATTTGCACAAAGCTTTATAAATGCATGAATTTAACTTTCTTTGGAGAGTGGTGGAGAGTGGTTGAGGAGAAAGCTAAGGAAGATAGTACATTTTTTAAAATAACCTTTGATTTGAGATGTATAGTGCAGTGATGTGTACAATAGTAAGTATCACTATGGTCAATGGGGTTTATTCCCTAGTAAGTGTATTTAGAATTCTAGACTCTAAATTTGCCATTGCTAAAGAAGGTTCTGTGACTTGGGTTTGGGAAGGGGGTCTATATGAGCATCCAAAACACATGTAATAAGACCTTGCAGAAGTATCCCATGTCACTGTGCAAATAGAGCTTTATACTCAGCAGAGCTTTAGACAGATTCAGGCCTGTGTTGTTTTCATCACAAGAAGAGAAGCTCCACTGGAATAGATCAAGGTTCGATACAGCATCCAGATCTGTTTAGTAAGCTTCCAGGTGGGATTTGAAGGCAGTAAACCTCACTCTATACTCGCAAGCGACTATTCAGAGCATATGCCTCTGAATAGGGAGGTTTGATTATCATAGGTTAGTAGTTAATCCTTTCTTCATGACTTTGTCCCTCATGAGTTTATGACAAAAGGGAGACTTTTCTGGATATATCTTCGTCTCTTAGCTCACTAGGTTATAAATTATTGGAATTTTTTAGTTGTACATGATAATATGTTTAGCACTTATGTTTTCTAATGAATTTTTGTAAATAATTAGTTGTTTTCAGTGATAAATACTTCCATTTTGTGGGCCAAAGGAGGCATGGCCTTCCACTGAACCTGTGACTCAACCATTGTGTCAGCTTACCTTTTCTCAGGTTCATAATCAAGGCTTTTTAGGCAAAAGGTTGCTTTTGTATATACTCGTAGTCCTATATGGTGGTACACAGCCACAGTATTAGCTTAGGTGAATCCTTCATCTCTAACCTGGCATCCAAAAAAGTTGACTTTAGCCCATGGAAACGGCACTTCTTCAAGTGCCACAAAATGCTGCCTGTTTCGTTGTATTAACACAGTTATCCCCAGAAATAACAGTGTAGTTTCTTCATTCTTTAATCATGTATAAATATGAATGAATACAGTTTAAAAAATACCTAAGATAATGCATTCATTCATCAGAGAATCTCAGAGACTAATAGCTTGCCAATATCAAATATATTAATTAGTTGTACATCATATAGCCAATCACTTCTTCCACTTTAGTCTTGTAGCCGTCCTCAAAATGCAAATAATCAGCTTGAATTTTTGAAAATATTTCCTCCTTATTGACCTATCATTTTTCAGCGTTTTCTTAGTAAAATCTGATACTGTGTCCTTGATGAATTGCAGCTCCCCTAAGCAATATTACCAATACTTTACAATGTTTTTGTTTGTATCAGCATAAAGGTATGGTTATTGAAGCACACACTTCATAGAACGTTAATGGAGTAACGGTGAATCCTGTGAATACTTTGTGGTATTTGCCACACCCTACTTCAACTCTTATGGAGAAGAGTCTCAAGTAATTTGTTCTTTAATAAATATGATTTAAGGTTTGCAGAAGTCTGTTGACCATGCTTTAATAGACTGATAAAGGACATTAATGGAGTAACGGTCTGTTGACCATGCTTTAATAGACTGATATGAATAGCACTTATAGAATTTGATTTTCCTAAACTTAAAATTATCCCCACTGGTATTTTTAATTATGGAAGAATGAGAGGAAGCAGAATTCCTCCCCTTCAGTGCTGTGTGACAGACGAGGAATGAGCAGCTGTTGTGGGTGACCCAAGCTCTTTTCTCTTTCCTTAGATCAATGTGTTTGTAGCCATATGGGTACAGTGGACTGAAATGCACAAGAGTAGGTGATGTGAGAATTTCTGTTGTGCCAGCTATGTGTTTAAAATGCCACTAGCTGTTGCACGTTCTTGAGACCTTGGTGTTCAGAGCAAAAAACAAGAAATGTGGGGAGTTAAGTGAATTTTTATTCTTTACGCTGGGAGAGGCAGTATGTGTTTCTGCAATTTTGCTTTATAGACCTTTCCTTAAAGAGGAGTATGTGATTTTGAAGTGGAATATCATTTGTGTAGCTTTATTCTTTACACTGGGAGAGGCAGTACTGTATGTGTTTCTGCAATTTTGCTTCATAGACCTTTCCTTAAAGAGGAGTATGCGATTTTGAAGTGGAATATCATTTGTGTAGCTTTCTGATCCCTTAAGTGATTGTCAAGTATACCTCCTATGTCTTTCCATCCCAGGTGTGGCACTCTTACTGAACAGTTAGGTTAATGCCTTTTCCTGTTTTTTACTCAACACCCTGTCCTTTGGGTTGCATCATTAGAGCAAAGGGTTCTATCACCGTGTGACTGGCATTGTTCTGTGGGACCAGTGAGAATTGAAACTGAGCTGCTTAGTGACATTTTTTCATTGCCTCCCCGTCAGTTTGCCTTGACTCAGTCCCATTTGCCTTTTTCCCTCAAGCTTTATTGTTCACCCACCCCTTTGTCAGATTCTTCTTATTCAACTGTTGCTTATGCCCAATGCTTGATAATCTCTCTTTCTCCCTAATTCAGGTGGATTGGAAGCCATGCTATCCTGATTCAGATATTAATAGTTTAATTTTTTAAAAAAAACATATTTCACTCCACTTTTCTCCTTTAAAAAAAAGGACCCGGGATGGCTGACATAAACAGAATATTAAAAGATTTAATTTTTTAAAAAACATATTTTACTCCACTTTTCTCCTTAAAAAAAAGGACCCAGGATGGCTGACATAAACAGAATATTAAAAGCTTTCTCTGCCTATCAAAACAGGTAGATGTCATTCTGACTGTGGCCCTCTCCAGCTTCTTGATTTGGAGCTGTAGAAGGGAAGTTAAAAGTACATGGCCATGATTCTCAAACTGGGCCCAACACAAGACCAGAGCCAATCTCTGTCCTCATCCTTCAGTCTAGCTCTTGAGGGTTGGGGAGTAGTTTTCTGTTCTAGCAGCTCCAGCCCCAGGTGTAGAGCTAGGAGAGGAGCAAGAGATTTTTTTCCACTGCTGTGTTTCAAAGATGTAGCATAACATCTAGGAGAAGACTGCCGCTTGAATGCTGGCAGTGGTTCTTGTTGTTAAAAAGTTTTTTGTTGAACAACAAAGCTAGCTAAAGTTTGTAAACCTTTATAGATTTATAGTCTTCTGTGAGTCTTTTTGCTTTATCTCGTAGTTTCCTCAACACAGACAATGTATTATCTCTTTATAAATTGTTACTCCAGCGAAGTTTTATCTGCACTCAAATGATGGTTTTTCACCTTCCTGAAATCAGCTGGACTAGATATGGCTTGCTATTCTGAGCAGCTGAATATTTCAAGTCATTCATTGCCAGAGGCTTCACCAATACATGTGCCCTGCAGTATAAATCTGAAATTACATTAATGGCAATAAAAATTAAAATTATGTTGCTTGCATTTACTTTTCATATTTGTGTATGTATAGTATTATTCACTATAATGAATAAGAGGCATGAATGAAAACTAATGGATCACTGCCTTGTCGTGGCAAAGGGGCTTGAGTAACTCAGAGAAGCTATGGGCAGTGCTGCGCAGGGACCCCCAAGATGGACAGGTCATTGTGGAGAGTTCTGACTAAACGCGATCCACCTGGAGCAGGAACTGGCAAGCCACTCCAGTATCCCTGCCAAGAAAACTCCATGAACAGAAACAAAAGGCTAAACGATATGATGCTGGAAGATGAGCGCCTCAGGTCGGCAGGCATCCAGCATGCTACTGAAGATGAGCAGAGGACAAGGACAAGTAGCTCCAGAGCTAATGAAGTGGTTGGGCCAAAGCCGAAAGGATGCTCAGCTGCAGACGCGCCTGGAAGTGACAGGAAAACCCGATGCTGCAAAGAAAAATACTGCATAGGAACCTGGAATGTAAGATCTATGAACTTTGGTAAGCTGGATGTGGTCAAACAGGAGATGGCAAGAATCAACATTGACATCCTGGGAGTCAGTGAACTAAAATGGACAGGAATGGGCGAATTCAGTTCAGACGATAAACATCTACTTCTGCTTCATTGACAACGTAGAAGCCTTTGACTGTGTGGACCATAGCAAACTATGACAAGTTCTTAAAGAAATAGGACTGCCTGACCACCTTATCTATCTCTTGAGAAATCTATATGTGGGACAGGAAGTGACAGAACTGGATGTGGAACAAATGATTGGTTCAAAATTGGAAAAGGAGTACAACAAGGCTGTATATTGTCTCCCTGCTTATTTAACTTATATGCAGAATACATCATGCGAAAGTCAGGACTGGAGGAATCCCAAACTGGAATTAAGATTGCAGGAAGAAATATCAACAACCTCAGATATGCAGATGATAGCACTCTGATGGCAGAAAGTGAGGAGGAATTAAAGAACCTCTTAATGAAGGTGAAAGAGGAGAGCGCCAAAAATGGTCTGAAAGTCAATATATAAAAAAACTAAGATCATGGCCACTGGTCTTATCACCCCCTGGGAAATAGAAGGGGAAGATATGGAGGCAATGACAGATTTTACTTTCTTGGGCTCCATGATCACTGCAGATGGTGACAGCAGCAGCGAAATTAAAAGACGCCTGCTTCTTGGGAGGAAAGTGATGACAAACCTAGACAGCATCTTAAACAGTCGAGATATGACCTTGCTGACAAAGGTCCACATAGTGATGTATGGAAGTAAGAGCTGGACCATAAAGAAGGCTGACCGCAAAAGAATTGATGCTTTTGAATTGTGGTGCTGGAAGAGACTCTTGAGAGTCTCCTGGATTGCAAGGAGAACAACTCTATCCATTCTTAAGAAAATCAACCCTGAGCGCTCACTGGAAGGACAGATCCTGAAGCTGAGGCTCCAATACTTTGGCCATCTCATGAGAAGAGAAGACTTCATGGAAAAGACGATGTTGGGAAGGTGAAGGCAGGAGGAGAAGGGGACAACAGAGGAGAAGATGGTTGGACAGTGTCATCGAAACTACCAATGTGAATTTGACCAAACTCCAGGAGGCAGTGGAAGACAGGAGGGCCTGGCGTGCTCTGGTCCATGGGTTCACTAAGAGTCGGACACGACTTAATGACTAAACAAGAACAAGTTTTATTCACAGGTGTTATTTAGGGCTAAAATACATTTTAAAAATAAAAGTGTATGTTTATAATGATTATTGGATGGAAGCTGAATATATTAATATCTTGGCCATAAACTTTAGAGGAGTGAATCAATTGTTAATGACAGAAAAGGTGGTTAAATGGTTTGGTTTTACTATTTATTTATTAATTCGTCCATTCATTCAGTATTTCTAAACTGTCTTTATATAGTTCAACCAAGGTGTTTTACATAAAGCTGTTAAAAATCAATTCAACAGTATTTTTGTATCGTCATACAATTTTTAAAAAACCAAAAACCTAACTGTCATAGTAAAGATAAAGGACATTTTTAGTCCAGTTGTATCTGACTCTAAGGGGTGCTGCTCACCCCGTTTTTCAAGCCGTAGAGCCAGCGCTTGTTCAAAGACAGTTCCCGTTGTCACGTGGCCAGCGTGACTAGGGAGTGCGATTTACCTTCCCACCGAGGTGGTACCTATTAATCTACTCGCATTTACATGCTTTCGAACTGCTAGGTTGGGAGGAGCTGGGACAAAAACGACGGGAGCTCACTCCGTCGCGTGGATTCGATCTTACGACTGCTGGTCTTCTGACCCTGCAGCACAGGCTTCTGCGGTTTAGCCCACAGCGCCACCATTATGTGTGAATGTCATAGTCAAGCATAATACATTGAAAACAGAGCATCAGCAACTGCAGTAGTACTCATTAATCATAAGGAAAGAAAAAAAAATTGTAATTGCTTTTGAATTAAGCCAGAAACTGTTTCTCTTTATTTTAGGAGGGACATTCAACTGGTATGAGACTACAGTGGAGGAGCCCCCACTCATCATCCTGAATCTCAATTCTGAAGGCAGGGCCAGAGCCTTCCTTTATTATTGCAGTGAATAAGAACTGCTGGATAGCTCAGTGGTTTAGGTATCTAGCAGCAGAGCCAGAGTTTTGAAGTTTGATTCCCCACTGTGCCTCCCTGACAGGTGCTGGGACTCAGTGATCCATAGGGTCCCTTCCAGCTCTGCAATTCTAAAATGATCATATTACTATAAAGGAGAAGGCAGCCCTTAAAATATCTTAACTCCAAACGTTATGATTTTTAAGCTGGGTTGACAACATGTGGCCATGGGCTGCTTATGTCCCCAAGGAACCAAATGCACCCCACCCATGCTTAAGATTTGGGGACCTGAACGTTTCTCTTTGTGCTCCACATGGGAAATAAAAGGTGATGTTGTCTTGTTTTGAAGGGCTGCAGCATCTCTGGAGTCCCACATCCCCCAAACTGTTTAATTTTTTTAAAGGAAGAACTGTTTTGTCACTGGAGAGGGTTAGAAGTTTTTTCAGTTTAAAAGCACAGAAAAAAAAATTAGAGTGAGGGATCATGGGAGTAGGTATGGCCACAACAGGTCTAGAAATGAGCCTCTGGGTCCTTTGGACCTCTGGGCTTGCCCTCCCCTGCTTTAAAAGTCGATAACAACCTTTCAGGATTGGATGGAAACATGGCAGGCAAAAATGTATGTTTTCTTCTAATATTGGTGTACTGTCATTAGTGGAACAGTTCTTATTTGTGTATGACATTAGAGGCATTTTGAATCAGTTGGATTCAAAAGGTAGACCTATGTTTAAAGCATTACAAGAGTCTAACCTCAGTCTTTTAAGCATCTGAATCACTATGGCAAGTTCTTCCTTAATGAAGAGATTTGTGTAGCTGGCACACTGAGAAATGCTCAGGAAGATGCTTTGAGTTACTGACGCCATTTCCATGTCCATCGATAAAGATCTAAAAACATTCTCAAATTTAAGGACTCGGTTTCCCCAACTCAAACTGATACCTTAATTTTTGGTTTAATAGTTGTCATTTTCCCTACAATTGATTACAAGTATATGTTCATGACATTCATACCATGTCTGAACAGATGAAAAGGAAGAATAGAGCTAAGTATCATGTCATCATAGCACATCACAGATGTCTAGATGGTTTGTCCATTTTTTGGGGGGGGTAGGTTGTTAGGAAGTGTAAAGAACAAGACAGAGCTCAGTGGAATTATGCATTAAAACTGCTGTGAGAAAGAGAGCATCTCCCCAATTCACATCGCCACATTGCCTGTTAGTTGTGCATTAGGCAGGAACAGGAACACTGAACATCAGTGCAAACCCCAAAACCCCCAATCTGTTTATCAGATTGCTGTCATTTTCCAGTGTGCAAATTGGACTGAAAGTGAGCCTGGTGTTCCCTCTGAGTGTTTGGAGTGAGGCCATTGTTCTGCTTGTGTGCCTTGCCCATTAAAGACGTGCTTCTGTCAAATCAATATTTGTTGCAGTTAAAGAACAGGTTTTTTTTGGCACAGTTCTCATGTCTGTTAGGAATACCTGTAGGAATACCTTTTAGTCAATTTACTTTATCTCAGAGCTTTGTGGACCATTGTATCACTTTCCAACCCTTTCTTTCTTTCAAAATCGGATGCACTGATCTCAATGGCTTACTGAAGGACGTAATGAAAGAAGTGGTTATGTTTGGCAGGAGGCGCTCAAGGAGAAGTAAAGAGCAAAGTCAGGAATTGAGGGAATCAGTTGTAATCCTTGTAAGTAGGATTGTATCACAAGGGAAGATTAACTGCTGCATGTACACAGATGGTGTCTAATTGCATCAATATCATCTCAGAGTTTTGCACAATTGTCTACTTGTCACAATGCGCTTTGTTTGAAACAGGCTGGTGTAATTTATGTAACTGTTCTTCCTCTTCCCTCTGTTTAGCTCTGTAGAAAGCGTTTTGAAAACTCTCGTGAAAAACTGTCGACCGTAAGTATTTTGAACAGTTTTTAAATCTTGCTTAAGCAGAGTTTAGGTAATAAGAGAGCCCTACCCTGGGGATAGGGGGTTTCCTTTTGGTTTATATGGAAGTGGTTTATCATGCATATTCATGAAGCTTTGCTGTGGTAATCAGCAGTTGAAGCTGCTTGTGTTTAAGTGAATTTGGGCTTTTAACTTTTAAATTCTTGAATAGACTGAAAGAATACAGATTCCTGAGTTTGCTTTGTGCATGTTTTCTCTACTCCTTATATTGAGTTCTATTCATGCATGCTGTGGTAACACAGGAAAGAGACTTCTCTGTGGCAACTCCCAGGTTATGGAGTGTTCTTTCTCGGGAGATCAGACTGACCCCCTCCCTTTTATCCTTCTGCTGACAGCTGAAGACCCATCTCTTCAGGCAGGCTTTAACAGTCGTGATCGAATCCCTGAATGCCTTCTTGAGTCAGATAGTTTGTAATGTTCTCTTGCTTTTAATTATTCATTTGTGATTTAATTTGCTATAGTTTAATTTTTTAAAATATTTAACTTACTTTGTTTTAAGCTCTGTTCTTAATATTGTGAGCTGCTTTGGGTGCCCATACCAGGAGAAAGGTGGCATATAAATAAAACAAGCAAACAGATAAAATATATACAGTGGTGCCTCGCTTAACAGCGATAATCCGTTCCAGGAAAATCAACGTTAAACAAAAACATCGTAAAGTGAAAATAAAAACCCAATTGAAACCCATTCAGTGTGTTCCAATGGGATAAAAACTCACTGTCCAGCGAAGATCTTCCATACGACAGCCATTTTCACTGCCTGTATAGCACAGCGGGGAGCCATTTTAGTTACCCGGCGGCCATTTTGAAACCGCCGATCAGCTGTTTAAAAACAATCGTTTTGCGAAGAATCGGTTCCCGAAGCAGGGAACTGATCATCGCAAAGCGAAATTTCCCCATTTAGACCATCGTTTTGCAATCGCAATTGCGATTGCAAAAAGATCGTCGTAAAGCGGATTTGTCATAATGCGTAGCAATCGTAAAGCGAGGCACCACTGGATACAGATAGCCTTTTCTCCACTTGCCAAAAGGGGGTGGTTGGGCATGATAGGGGAATCAGGTGGAACTAATCACTTAATCCCTGGGCATAGAGGGGCATCACAACTTCTAATAGGAATGTGACACCCTGCTGTGTCAGACTTTGCTGTCTTGTTGCATCAGAACAAAGATTCATAATATAGTTCTCCCACACACTCCCTAACCTGATGGGGAAAGGCCACTGTCAGGACACGTGAGTGATACCCATATCCTGTTTGCCTTAGTTTTCAATATTCAGAGAATGGCTATTTTGTAATAATGTCTGCTTCAAGCTATATTATGGACCTCCTGTTTTTCTGCCTAATACATTTTATACTTATCTGAACTTGACCGTGCATTTTATGTATTTAACTATGTGCGGTGTAGTATCCCTTGTGCCTATTGGCTGATGTGTCCTTTTGCTCTGCAGGTATTTTCCAGAAAATGCTACAGCAGAGATGTTAGTTGAATGGCGGCCGTTAATGTGTCCTTTTGATGTTACCATGCAGAAGGCTGTCACTTACTTTGAACTGTTTCTACCTACCACACTTCCTCCAGAATTCCACCACAAAGGTTTTAAGTAAGCTGGTTTTAGCACTTCATAATGTTTTCACAGAACAGTCTATGATATGTAAAATTGTTGTTCGTTAGTTGATTGCTAGTATGTCACATGTAATAAAAGTTAATATTGTTTTAACACTTGTGTGTTGAACGTCAGTTTGCTTAAGAATGTTCACCAGAATTAACTCTCATAGAAGCCATAGCATTGTTGTCTCATTTAATGTTGTAATTATTGGAGTGGGAAGCAGATATGGTTTCAGTACTCACTGATGCTGCCTGACTTGGTTCTTATACTGGACCTTTTCTGACCCGATGAACATTTGATTCTTATGCAAAATCGTACTGGAACCATGAGCCTTAAAGGCTATTACTATGCATTCACTTGTTCAGGCTCTGGGCTCTTTCTTTAGATGGGAGTGATGCTGATGCTGGGGCCTTTTTTCATTTTGCAATCTGAATCCCAGAAGGTTAGGCAGCATAAAAGTATTCTTTGCATGTCTTAACTCTTTCAGAAGAGTTAAAAGAGCTCATTGAAATGTTTTGCTTAAGAATCCTGCAATTAGCATTGGTTTGATTTAAATATGTTGTCATTTATTTTTATGAGTAGATTTGGCAAATTATGATTTGGCTTTAGTTTCTGGCACGCTCAGTGTAGCATGTATTTACTTAGCACTGTAATATTAGCTTTAAAACAGTAATAATGTTAGTTTTAAGATAGTGGCTGAAATCCAGTAGTAAATTGCAGGTAGATTAGGTCGATTGAATCAGTGGGGATTTGGTGAGTCAACTTTTATTTAAGTTCTGTTGATTTATTGGGTCTACTCTAGTTGGAACTTACTTCTGGGTATCAGCCAGTATAATGAAGGATCTGTTGAACATTTGAATCCCTTTTTGTTTGTGAGTTGAGTTTAAAGGAACTAGTCTGGATGCACAGCACAACTGGCTTTGTCCGTGGACAGTTCCAGCTCAGCATTTCTCAGAAGCCAGCTTTCCATGCCATTAGTCAGGCTTATTTTGAAACATGGGAGAATTTTCGAAAACATTTGGGAAAAAAAGCATGTAGTCCATCATTCAAAGAGGAGTCAAATATTTCACTAGGCATGCACAAGATTTAGGTCATGCTCAAAGAAATAGATTTGTGCAATACAGTTGAACTGTTAAGGTATTTTTCCCAGCATGGATTGGCTGATTGACTTTCCAAGAAGATTCTAGTTTTTTTTCCATAGAAGGGGTTTTATCTTTGGCAGTTACAGTTGTCAGTGGTGGTCATATGGCCTCTGAGGGACTCTGACACATTTGAAGGGGGACACAGACTGAAAGCAGTTCTTTACATACCACCTTATAGGGTTCATTATGTGACTTATACAATCCTGATTTGGCCTGTATTTCTTTCCTATTGTGATTATGGCCATGGCTAAATAAAGATGTTTATTAGCAAAACAGAATCCCATGGCATCGTTGTTAAACTGTAGTACTGCAGTCAAGCCTCCTCTCATGACCTGAGTTCACTGCCAATGTGTTCATGTATCCAGCTTGAGGCTGAGTCAGTTTTCTGAGGTTGGTAAAATGAGTACCCAGCTTGCTGGGGGAGGAGGCAAGGGCAAAGTGTTCATTACATAATTACAGTACAGTGGTGCCTCGCTAGACGATGATAATCCGTTCCACTGAAATCGCTGTTTAGCGAAATCATTGTCTAGCGAAAAGCATTTCCTCATTGGCATGCATTGATACCTGTTTAATGCGTTTCAATGGGGAAGAATCGTTGTTGTCTAGCGAAGATCAGCCATAGGAAAGCCGGTTTGCGAACCGCCGATCAGCTGTTTAAATCGCTATCTTGCGAAGCTTAGGTCCCGAAAACACCTGTTTGCGAGTGCGGAGAGAGCTGTCAAAGTCGTCGTCTTAACGAAAATTGGTTTGTGAAGCAGGGACGAAACATTGTCCAGCGAAATTCCCCCATAGGAATCACTGTTTTGCGAATCGCTATAGCAATTGCAAAAAGCCAGTGTCTAGCGAAAAAACTGTCATGCGGGGTACCTGTCTAACGAGGTACCACTGTATGTTGCAAATCACTCAGAGAGTGCTCTAGCACTGTGTGGTGTATAGAAGTCGAAACAATGACAAAAATAACAACTCTTCAAAAAAGCTTAATAAGAACAAGGCAAAAAAAATAATTTCTTGATGCACGTACTGAATATGACTGAAGCTGACTGAATTAACTGCACAACTGTGCATAACAAATGTTGTAAAACGAGACTTCTTCATATTTGCTTTCCTCATAAATTGAGACAGCTGCATATTTATCGCCAGGCTGTTCCCATTATGGGGTTTCACATCTCAATTATGTTTCTCTTTGGGCTTAGCACTTCAAGGTCATGCTAAGCTAAGCTTACTCAAGGGCTTGTCCACAAAACATCTCCCCTTCTGATTCTGCCCCGTCCTTGAGTTCTTCCACAACTTTGTGACTAATTACTGTGTCTTCCTTGTGGGTGACAATTGGTAAAATGGCACATTTATCAAAACAAACTTCATACAGTTGGAGTTTCTTGAATCAAGAGGTTGCTTTTCCCATATGGATTGAGTTTCTGTTGTTGATGTCCCCAACCTGCATGATGCATCATTATTTACTGTACTTTTCTGTTTGCATATCTTAGGCTGGCTGTTACTGTACTTTGTTTGTGTGACATATAAGAGGCCTGAGAGTTCTTTCTTTTAAAAGAGTTTCCTTCCAGTCTACTGGATTTAGTTTCAAGTATACGGCATAAGAACAGTTGTGTGGGAAAGTCTTTGTGCTACTCTTTTTTCAGAGAGAAATGACTGTGCCAGATGGTTTTATCAGCTACTAAAACAACCAAAAAAGGCAGTAGTATCGCAGCACTTTTTAACATTAACAAATTTATTTCAGTGTGTTTGTGGATTTACAGTCCATTTCCTGTGTCTGAGGAAGTGGATTGTAATCCACAAAATCTCTCACTGAAATAAATTCATTAGTCTTAAATGACTTTTCCATAGAATCATCGAAAAGTGAAGTTGGAAGGGGCCTACAAGGCCATCAAGTCCAACCCCCTGCTCAGTGCAGGAATACAATCGAAGCATATCTGACAGGTGTTTATCAAAGTTTTTCTTGAATGCCTCCAGTGTTGGAGCACTCACCAACTCCCGGGGTAACTGGTTCCACTGTCGTACTGCTCTAACAGTTAGGAAGTTTTTCCTGATATTCAACCAAAATCTGGCTTCCTATAATTTGAGCCCATTGTTGCGTGTCCTGCACTCTGGGGTCAATGAGAACAGATCCTGCCCTTCCTCTGTATGACAGCTTTTCAAATATTTGAAACATGCTATCATATCACCCCTCAGTCTTCCTTTCTCAAGGCTAAACATGCCCAATTCTTTCAGCCTTTCCTCATAAGGCTTGGTTTCCAGCCCCCTGATCTTCCTTGTCACCTTCCTCTGAACTTGTTCCAATTTTTCAGCATCCTGTTTGAAGTGTGGTGTCCAGAACTGGACACAATATTCAAGGTGAGGCCTAACCAGTACTGAATAGAGGGGGACCAGGACCTCGTGGGATTGGGAAACTATACTTCTATTTTGTTGCTGTTGTTTGCACTTTTAGCATTTTCCTGTTTTTTATGCCCACCAGTCTTGGAAATTATATCTGAATGAATTCTTATCACTACACAGACATTTGGATGTGGTCCTCTGAGGAAAAGCATTAATTCATGTGATTTTAAATGTTTATATGTTGAACAAGTATGTGTATTGCACAACTGACAATGCACTGGAGCTGGTTTACAAGTATCTGAAAACCTTGATAAATAAAAATCACAAGGTCTACAATAAAACAAAATAAGTCAGCCACAAAAGCATAAAAATATTAAAGTAACTGAACATTAGAAATAATGTATTGCAGATGTTGAGGATTTGGTTGGTTAACTTCTTTCTAAGTTTCATTGATTCAAAGGGCTTATTCTAACTGTGACTTACTTTACCATAGTAAGTCACAGTTAGATTAGAACTACTTAATTAGTTGACTCACCAAACCCCTACTGAATCAATAGGCTTACTCTAATATGAGTTACTACACATTGGCCAGCAAGCAAAAACAAAGCAAAGTGTGCTGTTTATATACCTCTCCATATCTCTTTAGAACTCTCTGGGTGGTTTATAATTTAATTATTCGGGCTACACATTGCCCTCCCCAAAGCAAGCTGGGTGCTCATTAACCAACTTTAGAAGGATGAAGGGCTGAGTGAATTTCAAGTTGGCTATTTGGGATTGGACCTTAGTAATGAACAGAGTTTTGGTTTCAGTACAGCAGTTTAACCACTGCGCCGTGAGGCTGTTAAACACTTATAACAAAACCAAAACGGAAAATGAAGGACCGAATGCCTGTGAAATGGAAAGGTATTTAAATGCCCAATATTTAAATACTACCAGTGAAGATACTATCAGATCTCTCTTGAGATGTCATTCCAAAAGAATGGGCAATTTGTGAAGGTTCTTTCTCTGCTATCTACCTGTCACATCATATAACGAAGTATTCTTTGGCATCAATAACGACACTATTACTCTGGACAAATTTAACCTTTAGTTACTCTCAGTTTATAATTTAATTATTCGGGCTACACATTGCCCTCCCCAAAGCAAGCTGGGTGCTCATTAACCAACTTTAGAAGGATGAAGGGCTGAGTGAATTTCAAGTTGGCTATTTGGGATTGGACCTTAGTCATGAACGGAGTTTTGGTTGCAGTACAGCAGTTTGACCACTGTGCCGTGAGGCTGTTAAACACTTATAACAAAACCAAAACGGAAAATGAAGGACTGAATGCCTGCTGAAATGGGAAGGTATTTAAATGCCCAATATTTAAATACTACCAGTGAAGATACTATCAGATCTCTCTTGAGATGTCATTCCAAAAGAATGGGCAATTTGTGAAGGTTCTTTCTCTGCTATCTACCTGTCGCATCATATAACGAAGTATTCTTTGGCATCAATAACGACACTATTACTCTGGACAAATTTAACCTTTAGTTACTCTCAGCCTACCTCCACAGGAGGGGATATGAGGTTGCCAGAGAAGATGTTAATAAAAGATCGTACAGTATTATTGTCCTGACTACCATGGCATCTGTAGTTAGCTGCTGCTCCATTAGGATATGCAAAGGTTTTTCCTTGTCTTTTGGAAAATTGCCCCCATATTTGCCCCTTACTAGCTCACATGAGCTCAGACAACTGCTAAGTAAATGCAGACTGAACTTACTGCAGTTGAATGAGATTCAGGAACTTTATATGGTGTACTACCAATGAAGATACTAGCAGATCTCTCTTGAGATGTCATTCCAAAAGAATGGGCAATTTGTGAAGGTTCTTTCTCTGCTATCTACCTGTCACATCATATAACGAAGTATTCTTTGGCATCAATAACGACACCATTACTCTGGTCAAATTTGACCTTTAGTTACTCTCAGCCTACCTCCACAGGAGGGGATATGAGGTTGCCAGAGAAGATGTTAATAAAAGATCGTACAGTATTATTGTCCTGACTACCATGGCATCTGTAGTTAGCTGCTGCTCCATTAGGATATGCAAAGGTTTTTCCTTGTCTTTTGGAAAATTGCCCCCATATTTGCCCCTTACTAGCTCACATGAGCTCAGACAACTGCTAAGTAAATGCAGACTGAACTTACTGCAGTTGAATGAGATTCAGGGACTTTATATGGACCAACATAGTACAGGCAGACATTGCCCTGCATGATGCTCTAAAATGGAAGATATTGTACATTTTCTAACAAAATGATTTCGTATGCAGAGAGATCAATATCTTAAACCCTTAACGACTGGGATCAAAAACAACTCCCCTTTATGTTTAATAAAAGATCGTACAGTATTATTGTCCTGACTACCATGGCATCTGTAGTTAGCTGCTGCTCCATTAGGATATGCAAAGGTTTTTCCTTGTCTTTTGGAAAATTGCCCCCATATTTGCCCCTTACTAGCTCACATGAGCTCAGACAACTGCTAAGTAAATGCAGACTGAACTTACTGCAGTTGAATGAGATTCAGGAACTTTATATGGACCAACATACTACAGGCAGACATTGCCCTGCATGATGCTCTAAAATGGAAGCTCCATTAGGATATGCAAAGGTTTTTCCTTGTCTTTTGGAAAATTGCCCCCATATTTGCCCCTTACTAGCTCACATGAGCTCAGACAACTGCTAAGTAAATGCAGACTGAACTTACTGCAGTTGAATGAGATTCAGGAACTTTATATGGACCAACATACTACAGGCAGACATTGCCCTGCATGATGCTCTAAAATGGAAGATATTGTACATTTTCTAACATAATGATTTCGTATGCAGAGATCAATATCTTAAACCCTTAACAACTGGGATCAAAAACAACTCCCCTTTATGTACGATTTTATTTCTGCCAGCTGGCACAGATTATTTTATATCCTATATAGCTGCTAAATTCGTTAAACAATCCATGGAAAGATGGAACTCATTGCCTGCTTAACAGTATCTTTAAATTAATATTGTGACTTGATACCTGTTTGGGAAAGCTTGTTTTACTGGTTTATGCTTTTCTGACTGCTTATATGTATATTAGATACAAAATACTATCTTTTAAGGGTGCTTTAATTTCTGTTTATGTATACAACCTGATTGGCTATGAAACAATAAAGTATTAATATTTGTAATATGAGCCTTCATGGACAAGTTCACTTCCTGAGCCATTGATACAGTGGTGCCTCGCTTAACGGGCACTCCGTTTGATGACGAAATCGCTAGACGTCGATGTTTTTGTGATCACAAAACGATGTTCCCTATGAGGGAATTTTGCTTTGCGATGATCCGTTCCCCGCTCCGGGAACAGATCATCGCAAAGCGATGATTTTTGGGCAGCTGATCGGTGGTTTCAAAATGGCCGCTGGGTAAGCAAAATGGCCGCCCGCTATTTTCTGGCACGGATTCCTCGCTGCACAGGCAGCAGAAATGGCCATGCTGGACGGTGAGTTTGAAGCCCCTAGGAACGCATTAATCGGGTTTTAATGCGTTTCTGTGGGCTTTTTAAAATCACATTACGTTTTCATTTTACAGTGATTTCGCTGGAACAAATTAACGTCATAATGCGAGGCACCACTGTATTTTAAGCAGCTGAGGATGATTACTGGTATCATAAATTAGAATACAAAAGGTAGACTTATAACAAGCAATTGTGGAGGACCTGAAAGCACGTTTTCCTAAAGTTGGGCTTTGACATTTGTTTAAGAGGACAACTGTACTTCCTGGAAGCTTCCAGGGGGGCATGGTTCTCTCTGTTTTGAACAACAGCAGCAATGTTTTCCTGTTTCATAGAGGGAGATGTTTAGAAATCTTCAAATTTTTATTAGCTGTCATAAATAATATTAACATTACATTGGTTTAGAAATTTGCATAGGAAGTAAGGGAAAGTGTCAGATGATAGCAGATGGAAGAAGCCATAATAATAAGTACAGTGGTGCCCCGTTAAACGATGAAATCGCTTGACGATGTCTTTTTTGTGATTACTATAGCGATCGCAAAACGATGTTTCCTATGGAGTTTTTTCGTTTAGCAATCATTAGGTCCCTGCTTCGTGAACCAATTGTTCGCAAGATGACGATTTAAAACAGCTGATTGGCGGTTCGCAAAAAGGCTCCCCGCTGTTTTTTGGACCTATTTCTGCAAGACAGGGATCGCAAAATGGCCGCCCTATAGAGGATCTTTGCTGCATGAGCGGGTATTTTCCCCATTGGAACGCATTAACCGGTTTTCAGTGCATTCCAATGGGGTTTTTATTTTCGCATGACGATGATTTCGCTGTACAGCGATTTTAACGGAATGCATTATCGTCGTCATGCGGGGCACCACTGTATATCCAATATGAAGCAAGACATTGCCTTCACCTTCCAGACATAATTTTATTCATTGTAGTGTTTAAGAATGTAAACTGTAAGCCTAAAAGCTCAAGTTTAAGTTTCTTTTCATTAGCAAACTTTGTAGTTTCACTAGCGGAACTAGTTTATGTAAGGAAAATCTGATGTATTAATTATGGTTATGGATTAGGAACAGTGTTTTTAATAACCAACCAGTGGTGTATTTGACACAACAGTAAGCATATTGGCTTGTTTTTATCTTCTTCCAGGCTCTGGTTTGATGAGTTTATGGACCTTTGGGTTTCTGTTCAAAATCTTCCTCAGTGGGAAGGGGTAAGTATTCCTGCCCCACCCCCCCTGTTACTATGGACTTGATATGTGGGCAGTGGACAAGTTTATGGTAATTAGAGGGGTCTCAACAGTTGAATAAAAAGATCCAAATTTTGCATGTTAGACATTATTTAACTGCTTCCTTGTGCAGTTTTTCTTTAGTAACCTGAGGAAGCTGCCATTTGCTCATGCATCTCAGTCTGAGCTGTAATAATTGTTGTAATATAGGATTCTCTCAGATTATGTTGGTCCTTGAAGATCCACTTGGAATAGGCAGGAAAATGCTACATATATGAGGAAAGGCCTTGTTGTTTTATATTTAATCATGGTTCTCTTTTTAAAAAGTATAACAGTGAAACTTGAATTTGAGAATTCTCACGTCTTTGGCTTGGTACACACCATAGCTTGGAAAAAGTTACATCCTCCTTATTGAATTGTACAACTCATGCATAAGGACCTTATGGCTATACAGAGTTATACTTGGAGTGTTCTAGAGCTGAGTAGGCTTTGATGGGTACTGTGCCCCACATCTCCACTGTATATGCCTAAGCACAAAAGTCCTTGGTTCCTTTTCCAGTTTAGCATGGCCAGTGGCCATTTGAACTGGGAAATTCTTGGAACTGTACCCTCAAAAAGGAAACTTTTATAAGCTCATGTTCAGACATGATGTTCCTCAGTCTTTTAACAAGCATAGTTAGGTTTTCAGGAGCATTGTGTTCTGTCCCACCTCTTTTCAGCTGTAGCCACGTCATAGTGTTAACTGGGCTAAATCTTACATTGAAAATGTTCTCTGTTATGAAAATGTGGTCTTTGGTTTCTTTCTAGCATCTAGTCAACCTTTTTGCACGCTTGGCCAATGACAACATAGGCTACATCAACTGGGATCCCTATATTCCAAAGGTAATGTCTAAGAGGTAGATAGGATGAGAATGGTTGATCTTTGAAAATTGCTTAGAGTAGTGTCTCGCACAAAGCCAACATTATGTAAATTTACAATCGATCAGTCAGTCAATGGTAAAAAAAAATTAACAAGATCAAGATTGTCAAATTTAGTTCTGCATTTTCTCTGCTGATACAACCTGTAGATTTTATACCTTGAGAAGGTCTACAGTACTTCATGTATCTGAAAATGTCTGTTGACATGCCATGATTTAATTTGTTCAACAGTTTTATACTGATTCTTTCCATATGCTAGTTAGAATATATACATAGCAGAAAGAAGCCCTAGACTAATTTAAAAAGAGGTTTGAAGCTACTGTGCTGTGGAAGATGTTTGCGGAAATATTACAGAGCATTTCACTATCTAAAAGTATTCAAAGAGTTTTCTTCTGTAAATACCTTGCAGCTCTGTGTCTGGAAACTGTATGCATATTTTTCATTAAAGTATAGTATGGCAGAATGCTTTTTGGATCGGCTTGTTAAAATGGTATACTGTGATAACATTTTGTAACAAAAATAATACTTGTAGCACTATGTAACCATGAAATTCCTTTTTTTGCAGATATTCACCAGAGTACTGCGGAGTTTGAACCTTCCAGTGGGAAGCAATCAGGTGTTGGTTCCACGATTCCTGACAAACGCTTATGATATAGGACATGCAGTCATGTGGATCACAGCCATGATGGTAGTGTCTTCTCTGTTTTTTATCTTTTTTGGGGGGTGTCTGTGCTTGGCTGTCCGTCTGTTTATTTATTTATTTCCCACCTTTCTCCTAAAAAGGACCCGGAGCGTCTTACAGTTTAAGAAAGAAACAATATTAATAGCTAAAAGCCACAAATTATTACACTATTAAAAAGGAATGAAACAGATACAGTATTCAAAATAGTAGATAAAAACAGTACTAAAAAACATTAAAAGCAACAAAAACACAGTCACATTTCAAACTCTCTTAGATCACTGGTTCTCAACCTTGGCTTACTCAGGAGTTTTGGACTGCAGCTCCCAGAAGCCTTCACCAGCAACTGTGCTGGCTGAGGTTTCTGGGAGTTGCAATTCAAAAACATCCAAGTAACAAAGGTTGGGAACCTAGGTCTTAGATAACCAGTCACTCAGGGAAAGCCTGCCCGAAGAGAAAGGTCTTTGCGTCCTTGCAGAAGGACAGCAAAGATGGGGCCAACCTCTTTTCCGATTATCCAGACCTTGGCATTCTGGCCTCTCAATTACTCAGATTTGCCATGGGAGCTACCTATGACTTCAAGCTCATAAATGTTTTGGCTGACCTCAGACCACAGGAACAAACAGGAACTACAGTGTGTTGCTTCTAAGCAGAGCCCATGCCAGGTTCTTGCTACATGACGTCATCACTTTCCTATTTTTTATTATGCAAAAATCATAATAAGAAAGAAGAAGAAACAAAAATAGCCTCCCCCACCATAAAAGTAGAACTGCAAGAAAATATGAAAATAAATGTAAGGATCCACGAAGTGCTTCCAGATATCCAAAAGACGGTCCCACATTGTGGATTTGTCTATATGCCATGCATTCCAGTGTTAAAAGAATCATTAAGGTCCTCAGTCCATTGAATAATAAAAAGTTAGCATCTATCTTTGTAATATTATAGTATAAATCTACTAGTTGCAGTGGTGGCATGTCAGCACTATTTCTGCTGAACAGTGATTGACTTCAGGAAGCTGGCAAATAGTTAAAAGAACATAAGCATCAAAGAATGTCCTGATTAAAAAATAATTAATGTAAGTGATGTATTTTATAATAGCTTTAATTATAATGGTTCTGTGTTCAGATTTGTTTTTGTGGTTGTTTTATGAACATACTGTAGTATGTTGTCTTGAGCACTTAATAATGTTGGGATAGAAATGTGATTAATAATAGTAACTCTAGCAGTAATAGTTTTTATGGAGTTTGGTGTCTTGTGAAATAGTTGTCTTACAAAGAATCTGTAAATTCCAACATTGCATTTCTAGAAATGGAACTTAAGTGTTGTTCACATATTTCTAAATCTTTTGGCATCACAGTTTTGATATGTGAGAAAAACTGATACTATCAGCATAATACTGCAGACTGTATGTAAAATTGTGACCTTGTTAGTTCTTTGACATGTTGTGTAATTCAATTGTCTCTGTTTCTTGGCAGGGAGGACCAAGCAAACTTGTACAAAAGCACTTGTCTGGGTTATTCAAAAGCATTGCATCTTTCTACCACCCCTCCAATAATGGCCGCTGGTTGGTAAGGAGGCTTTCCCCTACCTTTTTTGTAATCCTGACATTAAGAATTCAAATGTTTGGGACTAAATACAGTATTGATGCTTTTTGTTTTCTTCAGGAGTTTTTCCGTAAAACAGCTACGTTAAAAAATAAAATTTTTTATAATTTTTTTAATGTGAGCTTTCTTGGTTTAGTCCAGTCTTATGTCTGATGAAGTGGGCTTGTCCATGTCTTACGTCTGATGAAGTGGGCTTGTCCATGAAAGCTCACATTAAAAAAATTAGTCTTCAAGGTGCCACCACGTTTTTGTCTTTTTTAAATTTTGTTTTCATCTATGATGCTCATATTAAAAAGAATTTTAAACCTTGGTTGATGGTGATGAGGATGAGGAGGAGTATTTAGTGCCATGAATGTGAAAGATGCTTGACAGAGAACAAGATTTTAGAATGATTCAAACATAGGAATCGTCCCACGTGGAAATTAAATACATGCACCAGAATGTCAACAATTACCACCTTAGCCTTCTTGAACTTTCTTTTGAAGCACTGTAATCACATCAGTTGTTTCAAATAGTTCTGGTGGTAGTTGTCACCAGCTAGGCCATTTTATCTCCATTGTGCATAGCCTCAGTGTATTGCATAGGGAAAAAAATCTGAGTATTTTCTCCCATATGAGGAGAAAGCTACCAAAAAGCTGCCATCATCTGGCCTTTTAATGCAGAGGGAAATTGAAGAATTGTTTACAGTGGCTTACATTATTTTTTGTTCCATAAGACTATAAGACTCACCTAATTTTAGAGGGAGGAAAACAGGAACAAATATCTTCTGTCACGCCTGGCTGTCTGGGCGGCGCTGCAGCGTCTTCCCGTGGCCTGGGTGGCAGTGGCAACCATAGCCCAAGTAGTAATTGTGGGCTCCCCGCTCTAGTTTATCGTTACCTGGTCCCCCACCCCACCCTTGTTTTTGGGGGAGTGCAGAAGAGACACCTCAGCCAGTCCCTGATGGGCATCCTGAGAGACAGAAGAGAGAGAGAGGAAGGAGGCAGGAAGGGGAGAGGAAGGAAGGGGGAAGTGTGAAGAGGAAGAGCCGCTGCTGCTGTGTGAGCAAAGGAAGGGCTGGCAGAGCGAAAAGCAAAGCGAGGGTGAGAAGAAAGCTGAAATGAACGAGCAGAAGAGAGGAAAGCTATGAACGGAAGGAGGAGGAGGAGAAGGAGCTTGTTGCACTCCCCCATTTAGAGTCTCCCCTCACATCACGTTCCGCTGGTGGCGGCGGCAGTGACGCAGGGCAGTGGCAGGCGCCCCTCTGACGTTCAGGTCCCAGCCTAGTGAGGGGGACGCGGAGAGACAAGAGAAACCCAGAGCGAGGGGTTGACGGAAGAGGTAGAGTACAGCGGCATGGGCTCTGGGGGGTCTGCGCCATTTTTTACAGTATTCGCTCCATAAGATGCACATACTTTCCTCCCCCCACATTTTTTGGGGGGGAGTGAGTCTTATGGAGTGAAAAATACGGTATAATGCAACACATGTAGGGGGAGGGGAAATAGCTTTTACTGAACTCCTTGCTTCTAATTAACTCGCCTTTCTCTGATGCACTGGCAGAATAAGCTAATGAAGCTGCTTCAACGGCTACCCAGCAGTGTTGTCAGAAGATTGCATCGTGAACGTTACAAGAAGGTGACCTGGCTGACTCCTGTGCCTGATAGCCATAAACTTACTGACCAGGACATAACAGACTTTGTAGAATGTATTATTCAGCCTGTCCTCCTGGCAATGTTCAGCAAAACTGGAAGCCTGGAGGCAGCCCAGGCACTACAGAATCTTGCACTAATGCGTCCAGAGTTAGTAATTCCACCAGTACTTGAAAAGTAAGTGTTAAATAGGATATGAACATAGCCAGGAAAAGGCACCCCAGAATTTTGTCTTCTATGCAGATGAAAAGCTCAGGTTTTGCTAAGGAAGGACTGATGTTCTTATGTGTGTTTGTTGAAATGTGTGCTGTGTTACAATCTGTTCATTTTCCCATTTTAGTTTATGTGGCGGTCTTCTGTTGTATAAATTTATGCTCTAACTTGCCATCATTCTGTCAAAATAAATTCCCTTGTGGGGACTTACAGTAATTTTAAGACACAATTAAACATTGACAGCTGTCATGACAATAAGAAAAACATTAAGTTCTTGGTTTGGCAGCAGATCTCCTGAACTGCAATGAGCTTTCATCTCAGGATTTTAATGTGGTTCCAGATAGAAGCAAATGTGATGCATCTTCTTTCTGATTGTATTTAACATTTCACTGTAAAGCTAATAGGATGCTTGTTTGAAATCCAGCCTCCCTTTTGTTTTATACATTCAAAACATATAAATATTAGTCTGAATAGAACTCCTCAGGTTACCTTATGTAATGTTAGTGCCTTGCATTTCAATGTGGAGAGCCAAGATATTGAACTGACACTGTGTGTGCTGGCTTTGTCTTCTTGGTCTTGTACAGTATCTGCTTTCCTATTCATCCACCTCAAAGTACACATATTTCAGCTGCCATTTGTAAAGATAGGTAAAGGTAAAGGTAAAGGTTCCCTTTGACAATTTTTGTCTAGTCGTGTTCGACTCTAGGGGGCGGTGCTCATCCCCATTTCCAAGCCATAGAGCCATCGTTTTGTCCGAAGACAATCTTCCTTGGTCACATGGCCAGTGCGACTTAGACACGGAACACTGTTACCTTCCCACCGAGGTGGTCCCTATTAATCTACTTGCATTTGCATGCTTTCGAACCACTAGGTTGGTGGGAGCTGGGACAAAGCGACGGGAGCTCACTCCGTCGCGTGGATTCTATCTTAAGACTGCTTGGTCTTCTGACCCTGCAGCACAGGCTTCTGCGGTTTAGCCTGCAGCGCCACCACGTCCCTCTTTGTAAAGATAATTATTTGCATATTTGACATCATGCTACTATGGGAGACTTTTTTAAAACAGTCCTTGTTAAAGTGTATATAAATAATATGATGTAAAATATCTCAATAAGAATATTACTTGGTGAGCAGTAGCAGTTCTGCTTCAGTAGCAGTAGAGGAGCAGTGCAACATAGGGGACATAAGTTGACTGGGGTTTCTAGACCTACTCCCATGTCACTCACTGCTTCATTTCTCCCTTGTGCTTATGGGAATAAGCTTTTTCCTTTGACATGGTCCATGGTCTAATGATATAGTAGCTCTTCCTGACTGTCCTGTATCTCATGATTCAGCTTCATTGAATGACCCTAGGTTCTGATATCACGTGACAGGCTGCCTGTATGATTTATCCACAGTATAAGACAAAACCACAAGGCTGCATAGTTAAGAACAGACTTTGATCATACTGTTTACAGACCAACATGAGGTATTATCTAATTGTCTGCACCAAGGAAGACATTATCACAGATTTTACAAATTCCTCTCTTAATTTTTCTCCCCCACAAAATGGCATAGAACATATCCTGCACTGGAGACATTAACAGAACCTCATCAACTCACAGCCACTTTAAGCTGTGTAATTGGAGTAGCTCGTAGCCTGGTATCTGGGGGCAAGTCATTTCCTGAAGGTCCAACGCACATGTTGCCTCTTTTGATGAGAGCATTGCCTGGTGTGGATCCAAATGACTTTAGCAAATGCATGGTAAGTATATTAATCTCCATTTATTGTTATGGCCCAGTGTCAGCTTCTCCCTGGCCTTCAGAACATGACTCCAGTTTTTCAGAATTTGATCACTTCCTTCTCATGTGACCTCCCACACGTCAGTTCCTTCCACTATCTAATACAGTGGTGTCCCGCTTGACGACAATAATCCGTTCCAGCGAAATCGTCGTAGAGCGAAATTGTCGTCAAGGGAAAGTAAAAAAAAACACATTAAAATGCATTAAAACCCGGTTAATGTGTTCTAATGGGGGAAATACCTCATCGTCCACCGAAGATCCTCCATAGGGCGGCCATTTTCCAGTGCCTGTAAAGTGAGGAAACTGTCCTAAACACAGCGGGGACCCATTTTGCAACCTGCCGATCAGAAGTTTTAAAACCATTGTTAAGTGAAAAATCGGTTCCCGAAACAGGGAACTGATCATCATTAAGCAAAAAAACCCCTTTGAATCATCGTTTTGCGATTGCAATAGTGATCGCAAAAAACTCATCATAAAACGGATTCGTTGTGGAGTGGGGTAATCGTCAAGCGGGGCACCACTGTATGTTACATGCTAACTCTTCATTTCCTAGCTGTCGCTTTTGCCCAGTTTTAACATGTATAATTTGGCATCTAATATTGGACGCTAACATAATTATACCCCTGTTCAGGCATTCTTCCTAAATGGCTGGTGAGGAAATGGGGTATGTGCAAATACATCCCCTGATGGATATAAATATCTGAAGATAAGTCTGTAAACATGTTTGGCTGAACGTAGTTACAAAGCTTCCATGACTGGAAGCCTTGCCTCATCAGCGTTTGTGATCATGGTAGCTTTGTAAACATGTTTATAAACATGGTCAGCTGAATGTGCTTCTGAGCCTTTCTTCAGACTTTGCACTAATGTTGCAGTGGTCTGACTATGCCAGGTGGTGTGGGGGAATGTCTGGGTGAAACGTACGTGCATACCAGTCTCATTTAGCCCTCTGTGACAGCATATTGCCTGAACAGAGGGGATAAATGAACCAGAAGTGGAGACAAAGCTTCCAGAATTCTGCCTTTCAGTCTCACAAGCAGCAGGGAAGGATAGTGCATAAGCTGGTCATTTTTCCTTTTATGCAGATCTTTCCAAATCAGAGATGAACAAAATGTGGACTGCATTGCATCATCATTGTCCGTGTTGACTAGGACTGATGGGAGTAATAGCCCTACACCATCTGGGATGCTCCTCTTTCTTCATCTCTGTGATTAATCATAGTTTGGAATGATGTGCAAAGGCAGCCAGTGAGAATTGACTATAAGCAACTGCCACATGTTTCATTATGTGTGAGATGTGTGTTGATTGACAGACTTCTTGCTCAGTTTTTCTGGATTTTAAGCGTCTGAACACACTGTGTGGTTTATCTTACTTTTCACGGCTCAAACTTCAATTACATTTTAAAAGATAATAACACCGATTTTTCAGTGTAACTGATATCCATTGAAACTTCCTTTGCAATTTCCCATTAGATCACATTCCAGTTTATAGCAACGTTTTCTACTCTCGTGCCTTTAGTAGATTGTTCATCTATTCTGCAAGAGAGAAATAATCTCACAGAGGTAAGATGTTAAAGGAATGATGTTGCTGTAATACACATGGAGAACAATTCTTCTGTTTTAAATGATTTTTAAATGACTGCATGCTGAGCTACTTAAAAAGATTTCAAGCATAAATATGGGCAGGCAGGTACCTTCCATGTAATTATTTACCATATTTTTCTGTCTATAAGATGCCCCCACGTATAAGATGCCCCCACTTTTCTAACCCAAAATTAGGAAATCTAAGTGGGGCTTAGCAAGTGTAGGGGGAAAGGGATCAAAGCACTACAGGATCGCTTTGATCCCTGCTTTCTCCCTTTGTGCTAAGCCCCGCGGGGCTTAGCAAAAGGAGGGGGAAAGGGATCAAAGCGATCCCACAACTGCATGATCACTTTGATCCCTTTCCCAGAGGGGAAAGCAGGAGATTGCTTTGATTGTTTCCCCCTCCTATTTTAAAGCCCCATGGGACTTAGCAAGCAGAGGGGAAAGCAGGGATCAAAGTGATCCTGCAGCGCTTAGATCCCTGCTTTCTTTTTGCTAAGGATTAGCAAGTGGAGGGGAAAACAGGGATCAAAGCCCTGCAGGAACAATTTGATCCCTGCTTTCCCCTCCACTTGTTTCTGTACTCTCCTCAGCTTACTTCTGTGTATAAGACGACCCTAAATTTTGATCTAAAATTTTAGACAAACGTGTAGTCTTATACACAGAAAAATACAGTATTTATGCCGTGCTTAAATTGCACTTCTCATTTAAACACTCCAAATTAGTTCATAAAAATCAAGTGAAAATTTACTTATTTTGCATGTATAAAAACATGACCAAAAAAGAATAATTGAACAGGAAATGTACTGCAATATGGCATAATGATTCTCATAGGATACATACAATTGGTCTGAAATGCTTTGCTGCAGATATAGACATGTATCATAGGCATGGGGTCTTTATAGTCACATGATTTTTTCTGTTAGCAGACTGAGCATGGGGGTGATTCCCCTGTAATCCACTCATTTGCCTTGAGAACCAGCTCTGCAGTGCTTAGAAATTCTCTGGGGCCCCTCTTTTGTGGCATAGAGGGCTGCAGTGGGAACCAGGGTTGGGTGGGAATTTCTGCTATACCAGCAAGCATTCACTGATGGCATGTTGGATGTAGATCGTAGTTTGGAAGTAGGAAGGAAGAAAGCTTTCATTTTTCTCTTGTGATTTTAAATTGTAGGTGGAGAAAGAACTCTGTTCTGCTAGTGCTGAATTTGAAGATTTTGTACTGCAATTTATGGACAGGTACATTATGGTGGGAGACTGAGCTAGTAACTCTGTTTAGTAAGCTTTCCCATATACCTCTGCTTGGTCTCTCACACTGCAGGTCTGCCTGATGTGGTCTTGAAAGCATCAGCACCCCCATTTCTATGAGTCATAGACGAATTTAGTGCATATGTCCTTTTAATAGTTCTCCTTTGGTTCCATGTAGTCCATGTAGTGTTTTATCCCACTTTTTAATAATGGGGGAAATGGTTGAAGGACTTTTTTTTATGAAGTTAAGACACGGGCTGTAAAGAAATAGTTTAGTTCAGCTTGAGTTATTTAAAAAAACTAGTTGGTGTCATTGCACAATAATAGAAGGCAAGAAAAACCATTCAGGTGGTAGAGAAGGAACACAGATCATGTGTTAAAATTGAATTAAATTTACATACCACCCCAGTAGTGTAATCCACTATTCAAGAATATGTCAGGTTATGACTTCCCATTAGCTGTCACTTGGCCTTTGGCCTGTTCACAAACAACAACAGAAGACCTTCCCTCCTTTTTACTTTTCTGATTTAGAAGATAGCACAGACTCCAGAGTTGGGAGTTTTTAATGAAGAAGTCTTAATATTTCACTAGTGCTTTTAAATCCTAAGTGGAGGGACAAGTGGATCAGGGGATCCAAAAGGGGATAATTCTCTTTCCTGCCCACTGGTATTGTCCCATTATTTTTCTTATGTAAGACGAGGAAATCCTCTAGAGCAGAGTTTCAAGAGGCTCATAGTGTTGGGCTGGTGTGGGTGAGAAGAGAGCATTCTGTTGATGATAGGCAGGAGATTTGTGGGGATAGCTTCTCCTGGATCCACTGGGATAGCTTCTTCCCTCTGCTATGCACAGCTGCATCCTGGCCCTATGCATGCATCTTAAGCATAGAGAAAGCCATCACTTTGAAGATAAATCAACTGCTAAATTTCAGTCTCCTGATTAAAAGAATAGCCCATGAATATTTTTGCCAGCCTCCTTTTACACATAATACCTATCTTAATATACTTCATGAGACGGAGAAAATAACAAGTATAGCTTCCACCCTAGTTACCAGAAGGCAAGTCTCTGATTGCCATAAGTGACATTGTAGGGTCATACAGAAACGCATGGGGAGAATTAGTGAGGATTTTTTTTTAAGTTACAGGGTTTTTATTGTTGTTCCAACCTTTTTCATGTAATTTTTTTCTTTGTAGATGTTTTGGGCTCATAGAAAGCAGTACCCTGGAACAAACGAGAGAAGAGACTGAAACAGAAAAGATGACTCATTTGGAGAGTTTAGTGGAATTAGGCTTATCTTCCACTTTCAGCACAATCCTCACACAGTGCTCAAAAGAAATATTCAAGGTATGTCACTGACCGTGTGCAAATAAGAACATTGTGCAAATTACTTCCATCGCTCTTAATTTTTATAATGGCAGAAGCCTATAAAATTGAGTGAAATGTTTGTTTCTATGTTTGTCACATTATTTGTTTAAGATTTGTAATGATAAAATACTGTAAAATAGAAATGGGCAAGAACTATGGTTTGGCCTGGTTCAGCACGGCGTCCGCACAGGTATTTCATGAGCATTGAGTGCTTCCTTTCCCTGCCTCCTCTGGCAGTCATTGGCAGCAGTTTGCTTCTCTCCTCTGCCTCCTCTGGTGGCCGTGCACTCAGACAAGGAGAAGGTGCAGGGAAGCCTGCAGCACTGCCTGTGAGTGGGATATCACTTGAGGAGGTAGACAAGGGAAGCATGCTGCTATCTGTGAGTGGGCGATTTCCGGGAGGAAGCAAGGGAGGGAAGTGTGCGGTCTCCATAGAATGAATACCTGTGCAGGTGCTATACCAAACCACTGAACTGTGGTTCGTGCCTGTCTCTATTATAAAATTATGTCACCACTGGGTGCTGTCAGGATTTAATAGCAACTGGTTGATCTCCAGAAGGTCCTGTCATTAAAAACTCTATTCATATCTTGCAAACTGAAGGCCATGGCTTCCTTTAGTGATTCAACTTGTTTCATATTTGGTCTTCCATTTTTCATTCTGCCTTCCACTTTTTCCTAACATTGCTGTATTTTTTGGGTGACTAAAGTTCTCATGATATGTTTGAAGTACAATAGTGTCTGTTTTGTTATGCTATCTTCTAATAGGAATTCATGCTAAACTTCATCTAGAACTACTTATAGGTCTGTAGCCAACTCTAGCTGTCTTCTGACACCACTTTTCAAATGAGTTTCTCCCCCCCCCCTTCCTGTCAGCTTTCTTCATTGTTTAGCTTTCACATTCAGTAATCAGGAATACCATAATTGTGGTTCATGGTCATACAAATCTGTTCTCTCTGGGATCTATAAATTCTTCAGAATTGTTATTTAAATTATATTTTAGCACCAGGGTTGTTACATTGGAAATTTGTGGTCCGTACTACTGTTTGCTATTGGTTGTGTTTGGGTTACTTCTAAGGCAGCATAGGCCTGTAACAAGCTGAAAAGGAGAAGAACTTAACAAAATGGTCCTTTGTGAATGCGGGGATGGCTTATTCAATTGGAAAAGTAAAAAATGGGGTGGGCTTACTGTATGGGGGACATTGAGGTTCACTTGCAGTCTGAGGGCTGCACACACTTTTCCCACCTTTGATTTAAGGGATTGCTAAATGCTGGAATGATTAAAGAGCCCTGATTTGTGACAGTGTTGCAACTTGAATGTTGTTGTTTAGTCATTAAATTGTGTCCGACTCTACGTGACCCCATGGACTTAGATATCTAAATCCAAATACGTACAGTACCCATAGCTTTTGATGCTTGGATATCTTGCAATTTATTTATCTTGCTTTTCTCTTAGGTTGCCTTGGAGAAAATTTTCAATTTTGCTGTTTCAAATATCTTTGAGACAAGAGTGGCAGGTCGGATGGTAGCTGACATGTGCCGAGCTGCTGTAAAGGTGAGACTTCTGTTTTTCTCCATGTGTTCTCGGTTGAGATGCAATCCAAGGGGTAACCATGCTTGCTATGTTCTGCTGGCTTTTGGTATCCTTGCCATTTCCTTTGCTCCTGTTTATAAGCCTTAAATACTGGATTTTCTGGCCTGTTCCCCTTCAGGATCAAGGCTATGCAGCTCAAAGGCATGTCCCTAATTATTGCTGTAGGATGTTCATTATCTTGCATAATGTCGAATTTGATTCTTTGTGACATTTTCAGTGCTCTCCTGAGGAGTCTTTGAAGCTCTTTGTACTCCATTGCTGCAGTGTTATAGAGCATCTTACTCTCAGTAAGTTTCAGTGATCTTGTATTGTAACTGACTTCTGCTCGATTGTGTGTCTTTTCTGTTGAAACTTCAAATAATTTGTTTAGAAAGAAGCAACGGTTCTTGATGAGTACTTTTGTTGATGGGTTATTTACAACCTGTCCCTTCCCAGCCACCTTTTTCAGGACACCTAAGTACTACCTATGTGTGTGGATATTTGTTTGCCACATTCATATAGAATATTTTTCAGTGTATACCTAAATATAAACTTGCCCAGCATCCCTTTCCCTCACCTTCTAAAAACAAGGCAAAATACTTTCCTTCCTCCTTTTCTTCTCCATAGCACTAGGTTGGAGAAGAGGAGGAATGAATCTGTGAGCTAGTTTGCGTTGGAAGAGAAGAGCATCTTTTGTGGATGTGTTATAAAAAAGAATCTTCGATGTAAATTAAAAAGAAGATACTTACACAGGACAATTATCTTGAAACAAATGAGTGAGGGTCAGACCTTTAGGCATATGTACATCTTAAAAGTTTGGGTGTGAATGCAGTAACTATATCTTGACAAAGAACTGTAATCATTATTTACAACAGTGTTCCTCAACCTTATTATCTGGGCCCACTTTTCATAAGCCTAAGAATCTACAGTATTTGATAAGCATAAAAATGAGTTCCTGCAGGGAAAAAGGCAGAGTAGAAAATCAATCAATCAATCAATCCTATTATCTTTCAAACTGTCAGTTTTATTTTGAATTGAAATATGCCTAAAAATGGTCAAAGACTTGCGTAATTTAGGAATAAATTACTGCAATATACTTTACACTGCTGCAAGTCATAGGATGGTGCAATAAGCTGGATAAGAGGAAAGCAATTAGTGTAATTGTTTTTTCCTGTAATTTTCCAAATTAAGAAAACAACCAATCAAGTTTCTCCTCACAAATGGCACACACAGCTGTGGAATCTTGACATCTTTCCTCTAGGGTGGGGCATGCCTGGCTGTTTGAGAATCTCTGCCCTAAAGCATCTAGTCTTCTAAAATGCCATCATTCTTTGATGTTTGTTTATATTTATGAGTGTAATTCTTTGGCTGAGCATCAAGATATGAGAAAGTTGAAGGAAGGACAGAAAAGGTTGCTTAACTATCTGGTGCGTTCATCAGGAATAGCTTAAAATTGTATGTTCAGTTAGATGTCTGCAAGTATTTATTCGGCTGCCTATGCTGCAGTGTAATAACAGCTTTAATATTTTTCATAACTAGATGATGATGTCTTGCGTGATGAAGAATTAGATAAGGAGCTTCTCTGGAACCTTCAGCTTTTGTCAGAGGTATTTATAAGGAATGCTAGTTTTAATTCTGCATACTCCTTACTATGTTTTACTATATATTTTGTTCCAGTAAAAAGTAACAGCATGTCAGGAGATGACAGTTCAAGTTTTTCTGCGGAAGTTGCTATGTGAGCTATACACCTAAAGCACATAAGCATTGTGGCTAAGAATAAACTTGCTTAGATGACATTCAAGGCAATATGTCAGCTTTATAGATGGACATGAACCACTGATTTGGTGGTTTGTGCTGGTTTGTACTTTGTCTGGACAGGTGTTTGGCACTTCCCAGTCCCAACTCCTCCAACAGGCACCCACTCAGAGGCAGTGTCCCAGCTTCCCTAGCCTGCCTCCTCTGCATGCTGCTTCTGAGTGGGCACCTGCTGGAGGAGGCAGGGCTGGGAAGCAATGGACACCAGTGGTTTGTACCCATCTCTAGACAGATTGCTCTAATCCAGTACTTATAGACTCTTTATAGGCCATGGCTGCTGTGGCTTTATTCATCCTTGAATAGGAAGGGGAGAGACAGAACCTTGTTCCTTGCTCTCCCCAGGTTCATAGCTGTAAGCTTTAAACAAGCTTTAAACAACCAATGTATTTTATTCTCGAAGGCTTTCACGGGCGGGATCTGATGGTTGTTGTAGGTGTTTCGGGCTATTTGGCCATGTTCTGGCGGTTTTTCTTTCTAACGTTTTGCCAGTCTCTCTGTGGCTGGCATCTTCAGAGGACAGGAGTTAGAACCAGAACACACATTGAAGATTCTTTAAGGTTTACCTTGGAAATGCAACATTTCTGTATCTCTCTTGGTTTCTTTGCTTTATTATAAAGCCCTTTTGTTTTCCTACCATGTTCTATCAGCCACTTACAATACATTTGTTTTGAATGTTTTAGTTGTTTATGTACCTATACACAAGGCACCTGTTTCTGTAGCTGGTCTGACAGTTTACACCTTGGGCTGTTGGGCTTGGTTACTCCGGGGTGCCTGTAGGCTCTTCTTTAATTGAGAGGTTATCCTCTCCTTAATACGTGACTACCTAAAACGAACCCATAATCCCCAAAGAGCATGACTAGTGCCTATTCTGTTTGGGACTGATGGAAGTTGTAGTCCAGGACATCCCGCTTTGGGATGGTTAATCTAAGAAAATGGCGAAAGAAATGTATTTATTTAACTTGTAGATCACCCTGTTTAGTGATACCCACTACTCTGGGTGGTTTACAAAATAGACCGGTGAACCCCACCCCACTCCCTCCGCCTCCAAACGTCACCCATAAACAAACAAAACAATATGGAAATTAAGGTTCAAATTTAAAAAAATGGAAACACTGCTCTATCTTTAAGGAGAAAGACAGCTTTGTCTTTGACTTAAGATGATGTACGTGAATTAGTAAGTTTCTCTTCCTGTGTGTAGTGTTCATACAGTATTTTTAATGTCAGATATTTCTGCTTTGGCTAGATCACTCGTGTGGATGGGAAGAAGTTGCTGCCGTACAGAGAGCAGCTCTTGAAGATCCTGCAGCGAACCCTCCATTTAACCTGTAAGCAGGGTTACATTCTGTCTTGTAACCTACTGCACCATCTTCTTCGTTCTACTACACTTATCTACCCCACAGAATACTGCAGTGTGCCAGGTGGCTTTGACAAGCCTCTTTCTGAATACTTTCCTATCAAGGCAAGGATTTTAACTTATTTAGGATTAGAGAATTTTCCTTTTTTTAAAAAATGAAAGTACTAAACTATAATTTTTATTTGCTTTTATTTGAAGATTTAGCTTAATGCAGTGGCTTTGGAAAGTGTAATTGAAAGATGCTGTAAGAGTAGAAATCTGCAATGTCAGTTTGCACTATCAACATTTGATTTCATGTTGTAACTCATTCTTCAGCACACGTCATTTTGAATGGATGGGCAATTTAATATATGAAAAGTGAGCAATGGACATGAATGCCTCTATTAAATGCATTCACTGTTAAGCAGCTCAGTAACTAAAGGCTTCCTTTAAACAATGAAAATTAAGATATACAGTGGTGCCTCGCTTAGCGATTGCTTCGTTTAACGATGTAATCACTTAATGATTAGTTTTCCGGAGCGATCTTGCGCTCCGTTTAATGATGTTTCCTATGGGCGATTTTCGCATAGCGATGTTTGGGACCTTGCTTCGCATAGCGATGACAGTTTGGGTCCGCCTGCTTTGCTTAACGATGGTTTTGACAGCCTCGTGTTGGCTGTCTTTTAAATGTTTAAAAAGGTTTTAAAAAGGTTTAGAATGCTTGAAATCATAAGTGCACTTAATAAACCCTTTGTTAAACTAATTTGACTTTGTTCTGGCTCTTTTTGAATTTGTTGTAATTTCCCCCCCCCCCATTGAAATGCATTGAATAGGTTTCAATGCATTTCAATTGGGGGACCGCGTTTCGCTTAGCGATTTTTCCTATGGAGATTTTCGCTTAAGGACAGCAATCCGTTCCCATTGGAATGGATTATCCAGTTTTCAATGCATCTCTATGGGAAAACGTGTTTCGCTTAGCGATGTTTTCCCATAGCGATGTTTTTTTGGCACCAATTAAAATCGTTAAGTGAGGCACCACTGTACTGTATAAATCAGCAATGTTCCCCATTGTATTGATGATAAATGCTTCTTTTCTTGACTGCATGTACATTAAACGTGCCTTGCCATTTACTATCAGATTTACATGAATTATAAAATGGTCAAAAATCACATGCATTCTTATATATTATAGAATACATTGCGGTATACACGGTGTCCCTATTAACCAAAAATATCTTGTCAAATGTTTCCAACTTCACACAATGGCTACATCTGAGGAATGCGAAATAAAGCATGGGAGATTCAAACAATCCCAGTTTGTGCAGATTAGCTGCCCAGATTGTCCCCTGGCTCATTCAGGTTGTTGTTCCATGCTGTCAAATTGTTTCCCATAGGCAGGTCCATGAATTAGGGACATCCAAAAGTTTTTGCCATTAGTATAAAACGAATGAAAACTAATTGCCAGGATTTCTTTTATTGTGTCAGTCATCAATTTTATGTAAAAGGGGGCAGAAATCAAGATTAAAGGTGTGATCTGATAAATATTTCACCCATTGTTTGATCCACTGTGGGGACAGGTTGGTTCACTCCTCCACCCCCCACCCCCCAATGATCAAAGCAATTGCTGGAGCAAATGCCCGGAGCATTCCAGCCCACACTTTCCTGAGCCCCTGTCAAGGGCTTCTGCTTTTTTGATGTAGGTAAGATATTTCTAATCTCATCCTTTTTGAGCACATGTGATCACTGTGAATGGACCAAAAGTCCATTCTGGCTGTCAAGGGCCCTTCTTCTTTGAATTTGTGATATAATGAAGTAACTTAATAAGCAAGCCACTATAACAAATTGAACAATTTCTCTGTCTATGAGGGACAGGGGAAGTGATTTTTAAAAAAGACTGTAGTAGACCATCACTGATGTGCTGGACCATTTATATATATGGTCCATATATATAAAATGGTCCAGTGCATCAGTGATGGTCTACTACAGTCTTTTAAAAAAATCACTTCACTATATATATTTAAAATTTCCTTGTTTGAAGGGGTGAATAAGAAAGTGCCCACAGACAAATCCATGACAGTGGCTCTTCTGCCTTTTAATAAAGGTTCTTTCCTAACCCTATTTGAATTGATAATAGAATTATTACTTTACTGTCTAAACTCATGAAAAAGTGGAGGACACAAGATGTGGATTTGTTGTTGTTTAGTCATTAAGTCATGTCCGACTCTTTGTGACCCCATGGACCAGAGCATGCCAGGCCCTCCTGTCTTCCACTGCCTCCCGGAATTGGGTCAAATTCATGTTGGTAGCTTCGGTCACACTGACCAAACATCTCGTCTTCTGTCATCCCCTTCTCCTCTTGTCTTCACACTTTCCCAACATCAAGGTCATTTCCAGAGAGTCTTCTCTTCTCATGAGATGGCCAAAGTATTGGAGCCTCAGCTTCAGGATCTGCCCTTCCAGTGAGCACTGGGGTTGATTTCTTTCAAAATGGATAGGTTTGTTCTCCTTGCAGTCCTGGTGACTCCCAAGAGCCTCCTCCAGCACCACAGTTCAAAAGCATCAATTCTTCGGCGGTCAGCTTTCTTTATGGTCCAGCTCTCACTTCCATACAACACTACAGGAAAAACCATACCTTTGACTATGCGGACTTTTGTCTGCAAGGTGATGTCTCTGCTTTTTAAAATGCTGTCTAGGTTTCATCCCAAGAAACAGGGATCTTTTAATTTTGTGGCTGCTGTCACCATCTGCAGTGATCAGGGAGCTCAAGAAAGTAAAATCTGTCACTGCCTCCATATCTTCCCCTTCTATTTGCCAGGAAGTGATGGGACCAGTGGCCATGATCTTAGTTTTTTTGATGTT